TGGAAAGACCTTCCATGTTTTTGGATAGAAAGAATTAATATTGTCAAAAGGACCACACTACCCAAAGCAATATACAGACTCAACACGATACACATTACACATCAAAATATCAATGGCATTCTTCACACAACTAGAAAAAAGTCATTAAATTAATGAGGAAGAATCAGAGACCCAGAATAGCCAAGGCAATTGTGAATAAGAAAAGTGAGGCAGGGGGCATCACAATACCTGATCTCAAATTATACTACAGAGCTTAGTAACAAAAACACCATGGTACTGGCATCAAACTAGACAAGAAGACCAATGGAATAGAATAGAAGACACAGAGACAAACCTACATGCTTATAGCCACCTAATACTTAATAAAGGAACCCAAAATCTATTGGAGAAAAGATAGCCTTTGTTAACAAATGGTGCCAGGAAAACCGGTTATCTCCACGTGGAGGAGTGAAATGAGATTCCTGTCTTCCTCCCAGCAAGGAAGTCAAATCAAAATAGATTGAAGACTTAGGAATGAGACCAGAAAGCTTGCAAATGCTGATGAAACACGGGGCCATACTCCATCATAGAGATGCAGCACCAACTTCTTCAACAAGACTCCAGAATATCAAGAAATAAAACCAAGAATCAACACGTGGGATGCCATCAAACTCAAAAGCTTCTGCACAGCAAAGGAAATGATTAAGAAAGAGAAGAGAGGGCTGGGCTTGAGACTCAGAGGAAGAGTGCTTGCCTAACATGCATGAGGCACTGGGTTGGATCCTCAGCATCACAGAGAAAAAAATAAAATAAAGATATTGTGCCTACCTATAACTAAAAAATAAATACAAAAAGAAAGAAAGAAAGAAGGAGAAGAGAGCCTATGGATATATAATCTTTACCAGTTGTTCCTTGACAAGGGGTTAATATCCAGAATATATAAAGAACTCAAAAAACTCAAAGCCAAAAAACAAATAACCCAATCACTAAAGCAAAGGAACTCAACAGAAATTTCTCAGAAGAAGAAACACAAGTGGTCTATAAATATATGAATAAACATTCAATGTCTCTAGCAATCAGAGAAACGTAAATCAAAACTATACCAAGATTTCATCTCCAGTCAGAATGGCAGTTACCCAGAATATAAATAATAATAAATGTTGGTGAAGACGTGGGGTAAGGTACACTTATAACATCATTGGTGGGGCTGCACATTAGTTCAACTACTTTGGAGAACAATTGAATTTTCCTCAAAATAGTAAGAATGGAAGCACCATATGACCCAGCCTATTCCCCCTTCTTGGTATTAATCCAAAAGAACTAAAATTGCCATACTACAGCAACACAGCCACTTCAATCTTTGTAGCAGCACAATTCACAATAACCAAATATGGAATCAACCTAGATGCCCGTCAGTAGATGAATGGATCAGAAATATGTGGTATATACAAAATGGAGTTTCACTGAGCCATAAAGAAGAATGAAATTTTGGCATTTGCTGGTAAATGGATGGACATGGAGAAAACCATGCTAAGTGAAATAAGCCAGGCTCAGAAAGTCAAGGGTGGAATGCTTTGTGTCTTGTGGAAGCTGGAGCAAAATGAGGGAAAGGAGGGGGATGGGATTTCACAGAGATACAGGGGAGATCAGTGGAGTAGAAGGAGAGGGGGAGGGGGAGGGACGAGAAAGGGGAAGAAATAAGGAATGAGTCTCACAGAATCATGTCTCACTCATACATAAATGTACCAAAGGGATTCCACCTTTATGTACATGCAGAAAGTGGCAGTCAAAAATAAATAAGTAAAGGAGTGAAAGGGAGATCAGTAGAGCAGAGGAGGAAGGGGGATTGAAATCAAATTCTTTGTGTGTCTAGTTGTGTCAAATGGAACCCAGATACTAGTGTAAATATAACTGTCTAATAAAAAATTGCATACTTGTGAAGTGATTTATACGATGGGATTTTCCTTTTTTTTTTTTTTTGTACCAGGGATTGAACTCAGGGGCGCTAGACCACTGAGACACACCCCAGCCCTATTTTGTATTTTATTTATTTAGAGACAGGGTCTCACTGAGTTGCTTAGCATCTCACTTTTGCTGAGGCTGGCTTTGAACTTGCAATCTTCCTGCCTCAGCCTCCCGAGCTGCTGGGATGACAGGCACACGCCACCACGCTGGGCCACAGGATTTTCCTTTTTATTATACTTTGTATTTTTAATTAACACCTAACATTGCACATATTTCTGGGCTTCCCTGTGATCAGTCAATGCCTGTGTACCAGGTGTAATGACCAATCAGAATAATTAGCATTCCTTGCCTCTTTGTGTTCGGGACCTTTAGCTCCTCGTAACCCTGTCCTATTAGGTGGAGTCAGATGGAGTGCAGGGCTAACTTCCCCTACGTTTAGGCAAACTTCCTGTAAACTCCATCCAACCTTAGGAGCCTCAGGAGGCTGACTCTGCAAGGTGGGAATAGGTGGTCTCCTCCAAGCGCACAGTCAGTCCTCAGCTGAGTCCCGGGCCCTCTGCTGGTCCTGTGCAGCCCCATCCTCCCCAGCACTCTGCCCTGGACTCTTTCTTGGTCCCTCAGCTGAGGCTGCTGTGCTCCGCCTGGGCTCCTCTCTGCACCGTGACTGGACTTGCTCCAGGTCCCAGGTCCCCCTGTCCGACCCTGAGCGGCTGTCATGATACGGCTCCTGGTAGTCACATAGCTTGAGCAAGAGAGAAATATTTATTGTCTTAAGCTGCTAAGATTTTAGGGTTGTTTGTTCCTGAAAAAATGAGCTACTTTACTCTGATGAAACAGAATCTTTCGAGAAAGGAGACATGGTGTGAGAAGACACTTGTGTGTGTGTGAAACAGACAGCACAGTGTGCAGGACAGTGCCGGCCTGTGAGGGCCACACAGGGGAGACGGCCTGGCCCCTGGTCGGTCCTGCCATTGCCTGATAACCCTCCCTGTGCAGGGGAATGCCCACACAATGCCCACACAGCCCTCCCTCCTGCAGCTCGCTCACAGCAGGGAGGACGGAGAGAAGACAGTGAGCTCCTGGGTAAATGGCCGAGCGTGCAGGCAGCCATCAGCGCAGGAACTGTGAGCTTCTAGAGGGTTCTGGAAGGTTGCTGAGTTTGGGCTGAGATTTGAGGAACAAGCAGCCATTCACCCAGGGGACGGGAAGGTACAGAGCCAGGAGGTGGGCTGACCCAGCAGAGCCCAGGGCTGTGGAGGGGTCCTGGTGGGCTGCAGAGAGCACTCAGGACCCGGCATTCCGGAAGAGCCTCTCTGCAGCCCTAGGGCCTGCAGGACCTGGTGCTGCACGCAAGGCATTCAGGAATCTATCGTCTGGCTCGGCGTGTAGGTGACAATACGGGACGCCTGCCTGTCCAAGGGTGGCTGAGGCAAAGCATGAAGCATCCCGGGGTGGGGGGGGAGCTGGACAGTCACTTATGAGGTTTCAGCTGACCACAGAACCAGGGGGTTCCGGAGGGTGCTAGAACTGGACACTTTCAGAAATGCTCAGGACATTAGTGTGGAAAGAAGGCGCAGGGTGACGCTGGGCTTGCACCCACAGGTGGACGACAGGGCTGGTGGCTGGGTGTGGGGATGGAGCACAGGGCCAAGACTGGGGCAGCAGGATGCAGAGTGAGATCGTCCCTTCCGAGAGTGGGCTGTATCCAACAGGGCTGTTCTCAGAGGCACCAGGGGGACACTGGTGCTCACAAAGGAGTGGCAGAGCCCAGGGCACGATGCTCCTGAGCAGCCTGTGGCTCTCGGAGTCAGCTCCTCCTTCCCTTGTGACCGTGCTACCAGTCTGTGTCTAAAACTCAGAAGCAAGCAGCTCAAGCCTGGACCAAGCTCCGGGCTGCCGGGCGAGCGGCCACCAAGCTCTCAGGAGACCTGACACCACACACAGTGGGAGGGAGCCAGTTCCCAGGTCCCCAGTGGAACTCCCACTGCCCAGGATGTATCTGAGATGCAGGGAGGGTCTGCGCAGCAGTGAGGGGCACTCTCCCTCTTGGTCCCCCTCCTTGTGGAGGGCACCAGCTGGGAGGGGGCGCAGGCTGCAGGGTTGAGGCAGCCAGTTCATGCGGTGCCGGCTGCCTGGGCTGCCTTAGCTGGGGTCCCCAGGGACTGAGGGAATGGTCTCTGGTCAAGGAAGGGACACAGGCTTGGGTGGAAGGGTGGTCCCGGTCAACCCCTTATTCTGGAAACCCAGGACCACCTCTGGATAATTCTGCCAAGTGCACTGCCTCACCAGTGAGTTTGTTAGTCCCTGTCCTGATCTAGGGCCCCTCAGTGCCGGTGCACTTGTATCAGAAGTGGAGACGGTCAAGAGGAGCCGTGGCCCCACCAGCTCCCCTCTGGGCTCTGGCCCTGCTGTTTGGGGACGGCACTCACGGACTGGGGACTGGGACTGTTGTGCTTCCTCACCCCTCGGCTGGAGGCAGCACAGGCTCTCCCTAGTCCAGGCCCCAGGCAGAGATGCAAGCTGCCGGTGGCCAGGGATGGACACACATCACTGGTTTCTCCCAGGAGGGTCTGAAAGCTCCCGGTGTGCAGAGCCCTGTGCGCGTGGTACACACAAGGAAGCGTCTTAATTGGCAGGCATCCAATGAGTGGATCCCATCTGCCAATGGGACAGCTGCCAGAAACCACCTAGAATTCCCACGGTGCCCCATCCCTCCTTCCCTAGAGGAAGGTAGACGTTGAGGTGCTTCAAAACTAAAAACATGGAACACGTAACTTAATATTGATCAACAGGACAGCAGGGCCACAGAAATGCCTTGGTTAGGGTCCCTTCTGCCTACGGATCTTTTTGTGCCCATTCTCCAAGCCAGGCTTCATAAGAGGCCACACGGGCTCTTGGGCGTCTCTTTCTGGAATCATGATGGCTCCTCAGTGAGCACCTCAGGACTTAGCTCTAAGCCATCTGGACACTTGTGGCCCAGGACTGGAGGAAAATTAAGATGTCACCCCTGGTGGGAGTCAGAACGTCACTGTGGGTGGCAAGCAGAGGGCTAGCAATGGAGAACACAGGTCACAGCACCTTTATTTATCATTATACAAATGATGTGACATGAAAGATACTCAGCATCTCAGGACAGTCAATGCCTTTTGAAACCCAACGAGAAGGTCAAGCATGCTGCCTTCAGCTGGGAGCCACGCGCCTCCGCCTGTGGACCCTGACAGTGGAACCAGGCAAGGCACTGGAATCTGCCCTCCACCAACCTGCCCAGCGGTTCTGAGCTGGACACAGGGTGGGGCACGCGCACAGCACTTTCCTGAGAGAACACGTCACACGCTACAGCTGCTCCAGAGGCCGCGCCCCTCCTACAGAGCACAGGACGCATGGCAGGCCGCGGACCCTGTGCTCTGCCTCCAAGAGGCAGGCCAGCTCCACCAGGTCACCGGTCAAACACGTCCTCATGATTTAAGTTGTCACCACTGAGATGGGCAGCAGGGCTCGCTGGCCACATGGCCTCTTCCTGTGGAGACACCCCTGAGCACCCTGGGTCTCGTAAAGAGTCAAGCACTCTGGATAACAAGGGTGTAGGGGCACAGCCGCGGCCCTTGAGGACTCTTTGGGCTGAGAAGGACCTTTTGTTCGCTATCCAGTTTCTTGTGAGATTCACAGCAATTGCTTTAGGACAACACGCTTGCTCAGAAGTGACCCTATCAAGATCATGTGTCCACAGAAGCCCGGGAGACAGTCCGGCTGTGTGAGTGCCCACCCGCCACCCGGGGAGAAGCTGCCTCTGTGTTTCAGCAACAGTGGCAGCGCCTGCGCCACAGGACCTGAATCAGGTTCTTCAGAAACATCTGACACAACTCCTTTAAAAAAAAAAATAATAATCAGAACAATTGAGAAGGCCTTTCTTTCCCAGGAAGCAGGATGAGGGACAGGTGCCCGTGCAGGTCAGTCACCAGCCTTGCCTGCACAGGCTTTTCGCCAGGCTGTTCTGCCCTGGAGACTCTGCAAGCGCAGAGACTGGCACTAACGTTTAGAGAGAAAGCTCAGGAACCCTGGCTCTCCCGGCGAGTCCAGGGGCGGCTGGACGACTTGTGGCTGGAGAATGGAGAACAAGCCACCCTTGCCCAAGAGGGAAGCCACCTCACGTGAAGCAGTTCCTTATATATATATATAAATAACAAAAAATAACTACCATAAATTAAGAATTCAAACACTCTCCCACTGTGGAGTCTGCTGAGGCAAGACGGCACGCGTGGGCCCGGCAGGGTGGGGGCCAGGGCTCGGCATGCCCACCGGCTCCGGGCTCAGAGGGCACGTATTGCACAAAACCAGCTCCAGAGCCACCCTCAGAAGCTTGCTGCTGGGAATGAACTGAAGGCCCAGGAAAGCCCCATGCTGCCCAACATACCCTGCGCCCCAGAGCCAGGCTCTCCTGCCTTACTCAGCCACTGCCCAGTTACTGGGGTCCCTTCAGGTGGCCTCCCTGGTAACAGTAGGCAAGCTGACCCTCACAGGCAGTGCTGAAGACAGCAGGAGAGGAAACCAAGCTCCTCTCCCACGCCTGCATGTCCCACACTGCTGGCTGCACACAGCGGGTCAGCCAGCCAGGCCCTTCACCCCCGGGTGGCACACGGGCGTGACGTGTGTCCTACAGAGCTGGCTGTAAGAGCATTCCACACATCTGCTGCTAGACTAACCTCGCCTGCCTCCACTCCCAGCTGCGGGCAGCCGAGTCCTCGGTGTTTCTGGAACACACACACTTCCCTGTCCAGAGCCTGATCGCTCAACGTTTTTTATAGGGAATGGGTCTTTGGACACATCCACCTTTGGAACTGAGGTTCACACAGAAAGAAAACATGGATTTCTTCCCTGTCCTTCTGTTCAGGGCTCTGACTGAGATTCAGCCACAATAAATACTTTTGGATGGCAGAGAATCCTGAGACGACTCCAAAGGAGCCTCTGGAAGTGAACTCTCCCACTGGGAGAGAGCGCCTCTGCACGGGCAGCAGTGCAGAATCGGACGTGGACAGTCCTACAGTGCAATCGACTTCATCATTTTAAAGTTAGAAAAACAATATTGGCCACAACAAGATCTTGAATACACGTTTGAAATAAAAAAGAAAATGAAAAACTGTATGAAAATTGATTGATGGACATTCCCAACATGTCTTTTGTGCCTGGGTGGGTGGCCTCACGTGACCCCTTGCCTGTGAGGAACTCGAAGGCAGAGTCCCATGCCACTGTGGCACATCTCACATGTGGCCTCAGTCCACAGCCGGGCGGCAAACTAGACTCAAGCCATATTTTGAAGCGAAGTTACTTCAACCTCTATCTGCTTACTTGCCAAAAAATATCCAGGAGTGAGGGGAAACCGTGTTCTCTGCTGTGTGCTGCCCCGTGACTACTGTGTGTTCAGTACAGTAATGAGCTCCAAAGAAAACAGAAAACCAACGGCTTGTGCTCCTCATGACAATCGCTCCTGGGACCTGCTTCTACCTCTACGCCCCTTCTCCAGCCCTGCCCTCAGCGTTCTGAGGCCGGCTGCACGACCTTGGTAAGGCATATCTGGCACGGACCGAGTTTCCAACCCTGCCTGCCGGGTCGTTTCTGGAGCTAAGCCGACACTCCCACAGCTGCTGGGGTACCTGGAGACGGTCTGCAGAGCTACGTCCACCTCAGGCACGACGCACCGTATGCACCTTTGCTCTGTTTGGTATCCAGCACACACTCCTCAAGACACCCCCAGTCCCTGGCTCTGTCCGGTGGCGGCAGCAGCTCAGTAGCTGTACATCTGCTGCTGCTCTGCCTGGACCTGGGGCTGTGCCGCCTGCTGTGGGGGTGCCGGCGGCTGCGGCGGCTGCAACACGTCTGTCTGGGGCACTGCCCGCCATGTGAGTGGGTGCTGCTCACTGAGCTGGCTCCCCAGGGGTGTGATGGAGTTGACCAGGGTGGTCAGATTGATGAAGTGGGCCACAGACTGGGGGCTGGAGGCCTCTGGCGGCGGGTGGACCTGGACATCGTGCTGGCGGTTGTGCAACATGGCGGAGCCACTGACGGTGTCAAAGGTCACGGTCAGGATGGAGTTGTCCAGCTGCAACTGGCGTTCAGGGGTGGTGAGGTGCCCCACAGCCACTGGCTGCAGATTGGTAAACTGAGTCCCAGCTGCAGTGGTGATGGGGGTCACGGTGATATTGGTCAGGCCAACGGAACTTGATGGGGCAGTCACATTGGGGTCTCCCAGGGTCACCACCACCTGGAAGAGTGACACAGAGCAAGAGATGGTGAGGTTTGCTGCAGAGGGAGGGTGGAGTAGGCTCCTGAGAGTGCACTTGGCTGCAGTGTCACAGTCACACTGGGGTTGTCACATGCTCCTGGCTAAGGATAAGAGGCAAACAGCTATTGGTGAAGGAGACACCAAGTTAATCTTGTCCTGGAAAAATCATTTCCATTGGAAAAGAGAAACAAGATGCAAATAATAACCAGGCCACAAGGGGGCAGAACACTCCAGGGAGGGGCTGCCCGGGCGGGCAGGAGAGGAAGCCAGCAGGAAAACGGAGGCCGAGCCTCCCGCAGGCACTGCCTCCCGCCCTGCTGCCCGCAAGCCACAGAGAACCTGCCATGGTTGGGTCTACAATGCTCCCCAGAGATACCCCAGGCTTGGGACCAAGGGAGCGCCCCACTGGTGGCACTATTTGGGGTGGTAGGACCTTTAGGAGAGGCCTGGTCGGAGGGAGCATGTCACTGCGGGGTCTGCCCTTTAGAAGGTGTTTTTGTCCCCACACCCCATCTCGGCTTCCCTGCAGCCATGAGGTGACGGCTTGCCCCTGAACTCCACACCATGATGTTCTTCTGGAACGTTCTTCCTCCTCACAGGCCAAAGTGATGGCCAAGTGACCATAGACTACAACCTCAGACCACAAGCCAAAATAACGCTTCCCTCCTTTAAGCGACTTTCCTGGGCATTTTGTCACAGTGGTGGGAAGCGGGCACGATATCCTCACCGCAGGGTAAGGAGGAGAACGCGACACCGCAGTCCCAACAGCCAGGCAAGGGGGTGGCTCTCCTTCCTAAGCAGCACAGAGGACAGCCGAGTGCAGGGGTCCCTCCAGAGTGGGAGGCACGCAGAGGCAGGGCCCTGAGAGACGCGGGGCCTCAGGAGCAAACATGAGGAGGCTGAGCAGGAGATCTGTGGGAGGAGGGGCTCAGCCGCCCCGTCCTGTCCTCTGCCCCCTGCAGAGGGCCCTCCTGGACTGCAGTGCCTACGACTGCCCCTCCACAACCAGGGGACGCACTGGCAGCCTGGGGTCTCCCCACCCTGGGACCCCAGCCAGGGTGATGTCCGTTTCACACACTGGGATGTCAGGTCACTGCTGAGAGCGATCAGTGTGATGCGGAGGTCAGAGCCTGGCGTGCTACAGGAAACAAGGCCGGTGTGGACCGCAGGACTCAGGGCAGACCCAGGAGGAGTCCACGTGTGCGGGGCGCACGCTGCAGATGGGCTGGCGTCCTGCGCGTGCAGACGCCTGTGCTCGGGGAAGCGGCCTCCATAAGGGGCCTGGCGCCCCATCTGACAGAGAGAGACCAGCTGACCTGCTGAATGCTCTGCACTGCGGAGCTGGTCTCGTCGCCCACGCTGCCCGTGAACTCGGCCTCCTTTTCCGAGTACTCGCTGAAGGCGGTGTCCTCGGGTGCCGGTGCCCCTGCCCCCTCCTCGGGCTTCTGCTTCCTCCGGTGGCTGCGCTTGGCAGTCTTCCCGGGCTTCCCCTCAGCCAGCTCTTCCTGCTCCAGGTTCAGCTCAGGCTGTGGGAAGACCAGGTTCAGCGACAACAGGCCAGGGCAGCCCCGCACCGCCCTGGACACACAGCAGGCCAGCGGTGAGGCTCAGCCCACGGTGCAGGCTTCCAGCAGAACTCTCCCCGGGCAGAAGGAGACCCCTGTAGGAACGGCTGTGGTCTGAAGGGCCTGCCCACGACAACTGTGTGGACGGCTCCCGGGGACCCATCCCACGTGCCCCCTGCCAGGGTGCAGGGAGAGACGGGCCGTGGCCAGATCCTCCTGCCAGGTCAATCCTCCCCGGGCAGCAAGGGGCCCGGGGAGGTTCTCCATGTGGTCCCACTGCCCCTCCTGTGTGACTCATGCCCCCAAGGCAGACAGACCAGAGTAGTCTGCCAAGGCGTGGTCACAGTGGCTTCCCTCCCACCGGCTGCCCGCGGCTCAGGCCCAGTGCCTCGTGGGTCTCTGGTCTGGACATGGCTGCCACACACTCCCTCACTGGACCCAGCGGCCTGCATCTGCCCTGCACTCAGGACCCGTGGCACGGCACTCGTGCGTCGATGCTGCACCCTCAGTCCCTCGTGCCCGCGGGGCCCGCGTGCGGCTCACCTGGACGATGCCGATGGAGGAGGCGTCAATGGTGGTGGTCTCAGGCAGGTGGTCCAGGTCGTCGATCCTCACTGCAAGGACCTGCAGGGGCATGGGACAGTGAGCAGGCCTGCCAGCCCCCATGACAGCAGCCCTGGTGACACCCGAGGAACCCGGACACGGGGGTGGGGGCCCCTCAGAGAAGGCCCTCTGCGGGGGGCTGGCTTGAGACTCAGCAGCCCATCCAGGAGGGTCCCCAGCCCCAGCCCCTGACCAGGTTCCTGCAGGCTCTCACACAGCGGGGCTGCTGGCACCAAGGTGCTCTCGTGACTGCACAGCCGCGGCGGGCACTGCGTCCTCCCTCTGCTGCCCCATGACAGGAGCTCTCAGTGAGACCCCAGAGCCCCTGGCGCCCCGCAGAGCAGCTGAGCAAGTCAGGTGCAGTGGGCCGGCACCGGACGGCGGCTCCTCACTCAGAGCACCCTCACCCCCACCTGTCGCTCTGTGGCAGGCGGAGTGCAGCCCCTCCCCTCCCCTCCATCAGCCCTGCTGAGCGATGCCCTCAGCCTGTGACGCTGGCACTGGGACTTGCCCCGTGTGCCCATGGCTCTCCCACAGCTTGGGTGCGAGCAGCGGGTGAGCACCTCACCACCAGCCTGCCCCTGCGCACGTTCCTCAGGCTCATTCTGTGATGACTGCCCTGATTAGGTCACAAGGAGGGGACACAGCACATAGGACGGACGGAAGGCAGAGACTGATGAGGTACGCGGCCAGACGGGACGGGGTGTGGGAACCACAGTGTCTGGGGGGTTCTGCACTTGGCAGCCCTGCAGGCCCCTGAGGAAAGTCACCCTGGAGATGGAACAGAGGCTCTGGATGGCTGAAGACCGAGGGCGGGCAGGGCGTCTCTGGCCTGTCCTCTGCACAGGACCCTGTGGCCTTGAGCCTCAAGCAGGTGCTGGGGACACCTGTGCTCACCCCTCCAGCTCAGGACTAGGGGAGGCTGTGCTGTGTTTCTGGGGCCACGTGAATTCCCTCCCTCAGGGTCTCTCTCCTCTGCACGTGGCCCCCGGCTTTGTCGCGAGGCATCATCACCAGGAATGCTCACGCCGTCTGCCCACTGGCCTCTGCACTCTCTCTGACCTACAGAGGCCCTCGAGTGGGTACAGTCTAATGGAGCGATATTTTATTGACTTCTTCTGCCACTTTGGTTGGGAAAGTCTTCCCGTTCCAGGAGGTGATGACCATTCACCTGCATTTTCTTCTTTGAAGTGTACCTCACTGCTGGGCTCCCCCAGACCTTCTCTAGGAGGGCTTTCGGGGGGCCAGGCCGCACTTCTCCAGTTTCTCCCACTGGGCCTGAGCCCCCACCCCGGCACTCTGATGGTTCCTGTTTTGCACACTATTCACTTCAATGGGAGGAAGCAGGGAGAGGGCGGGCAGGGCGTCCACCTGGTGTGACCCCAGGGAGGGAAGGTTTAGAACTGGTGTGAGTTACCCTGGCCCTCCTCTGTCCTGGCCATTCGTCCAGCACCTCCTCCTGCGCAGGTGCACAACTCAAGGGTATGTGGTCAGGCCCTGCCCCAGGAACTCAGGGTCTCCAGCAAGACAGACCCAGGCACCACAGTGGGGTCCTGCAGAGGGGAGGCACACCCCAGGCCACAGAGGGCGGGGTCAGACACCAGGCTCACCTCGGGGTGCTTGCGCCGCATGTGCCTGCTCATGGAGGCCCGGGTGGACACCTTGGTCCCGCACAGCTGACAGCTCTGCGCCTCCACCTTGTCATGGGTGAGCTGCACGTGCTTCTGCAGCATGTACTCGGTGACGTACTTCTTGTCACACACGGAGCACGTCCACTGCTTGCCCACTTCTCAAGTGTACACAGGCAGGAGGAGAGAGAGGTGCAGGTCACCCGTGGGGCCTTCCCCTGACCCCACTCTGGAGAGCCTGTGCCTGCCAGCCCACTGCTCCTCTTGTGAGAGCTGCCCACCAGGTCAGCCCTGGGGAGCACATGAGGCCTCTCCCCCACAGCGCTGCCCCACAAATACTGGGTGGCTCAAGGCCCCTGTCTGCCCCACAACAGGCCCCACAACAGTGCTGCCCCACCAATAAATACTGGGCTCAAGTCGCAGGGGTCTCGCAGGCCATGGGTAGCACCGAGCACCCTGGGGACCCCGGCCTACGAGCAGCCGTGCCAGCCTCGCCAGCTGGTGCAGCCGAGGGCGTTCCTGCAGACCACCCACCTGTGTGGATGAGCTTGTGGGTCTCCATGGTGTTCCTCTCGCTGAAGGTCTTCCCACACAGCTCACACATGAAGTCTTTGATCCCTGTGGGAAGAGCACGTGAGTCTCACAGGCAGGAAGCGCTGAACATAAAGGAGGTCTTGCCCGTGACATAGCCTAGTGTCTGCCTCTGGGGGAGGGAAATTGCCAGAAGGTGGTAAACAAAAAGCCCTCAATCCCAACTCAACTCGCTCCCAGAAAACTGTGGCTTTAAAATATACCCCTCTAGGGCGCTATTTTATATTAAAAAATAAAAAGCAGAAAGGCCTGTCTGAAATCACAGAGGTGGAGCAGCACAAGTATGAAGCAGTGGCAGTTGCTTTAGGGTTAGTTTACTCACCCCACTGAGTCCAGGTAGCACACGAGACAGAGGAGAGGAACAGAGGAACCCAGACCAAACACAAGGAGGGTACAAACACGCCGAGCCCAAGAGACCACAGGACTGCTGCGGCCAACCACAGTCATCTCTGCTATCCAACAGCACACACAGAAAGACCACTCACCACAATCAAGTGGGATCACTGTGAAGGAGGCAGGACAATTCAACACATGCAAATCAATACGTGTCATACGTCACATCAACGGAAGGAAGGGTGAAAAAGCACATAAACATCTTAATAGACCAGAAAAGACATTTGATGGATTTCAACGTCCCTTCAAAATGAAAACCTTGAGCAAAGTTAAGTGTCAAAGGACCCCACCCCAGCACAATAAAGGCCACCTGCGACCAACCCACAGCCAACATCATACCAAATGTGGAAACCAAAAGCATTTCCTCTAAAACCAGGAACAAGACCAGGGTGTCCTCTCTCAGTGCTCTCATCCAACACAGCACTGGACGTTTTAGCCAGGGTGGTCAGGCAAAACGAGACACAGAAGGCACACCAACAGGAAAGGAGGAAATCAAACAATCCTATGCAGGAAAACCTGAAGACCCACTGAAGACCTCTAGAACCGAACCGATGATTGAGTTCAGCGAGGATGCAGCGTGTGAAATCAACACGAAAAATGTACTGACCAACAACAAACTTGGTCAGAAACCACGAAAGCAATCCCATTCACAGCAGCTATGAGAAGAAGGAGAAGGAGGAGGAGGAGGAGGAAGAGGAGGGGAGGAGGTGGGGGGAGAAGAAGAAAAAGAAAGCCAACCAACCAACCAACCAAAAACCAAGGAATACACTTAACCATGAAGTGGAAAATAACTTTCAAAGAATGTTAACAAACACTGATGTAAGAAATTAAAGAATACACACAAAAAACGGAGACATTCTATGTTCACGGACTGGAGGAATGAATGTCGTCAAAATGTCCATCCTATCCAAAGTGTTCAGTGCAACTCCATTGACACGTCAGACGTGAAGAGAGAATCTAGAACTAGAAGAGAGAATCCCAAACTTCATTTGGAAGTGTGAAAGACTACCAAAGCCATCCTGAACAAAAGACCAAAGCTGGAGGCCTGGCCCTGAGCCACAGAGACAGCAGGTACCAGCCAGAAACACGAGAGAAACACACCCACAGTCTACGCCAACTGACTCTGAACAGAGATGCCAATAACCTGATTAGAGAGAGGACAGCCTCTTCAATCAAGGGTGCTGGGAAAGCTGGATAGGGAAGACTCGACCCAACTCTCACCCTGCACGAAAATCAAGTCAAACTCCATCCAAAGCCGAAATGTAAGACCTGAAGCCGAAACTCCTAGAAAACACAGCAGATGTTTCAAGACACTGGTACAGGACCTGACGAAGGGTGGGCGTCCACATACACGAGGAACTCAAACACTTGACCAAAAACTAGTTCATCCAATTAAAACACAGACGAGTGTGCTGACAGACACAGATGTATGCAAAAATGCTCAATGTCACGAGCCACAGGGACGCCAAACCAAAACTAGAGCAAGACAGAACCCCACGCCAGTGGGAAAGGCTGTCACCCTGAGAACATGAGCAAATGCGGGGAGGATGTGGAAAGGGGGCTCTCCTACACTGTGGGCGCGTCTCTGCCCTCTGCAGTCCCCCAGGTGCCCAGAGGGTGACGCGGCCTGGGACCACGGGCCAAACCTATCAGAGACCCACCAGCTCTGGGTGCTCCTGCCTGTGGGCTCGGAGCCAGGTGGGGGGGGCCTGGTGCTCACAACAGGGGAGCCTCTGGGGCCACTGGGGGCAGAGGCGGGCGGCGCGGGCCTCACCCGTGTGCCGCTTGTAGTGCTTTAGCATGTTGACCTTCTGCGCGAACTTGCGGTGGCACTCCTTGCACTCATACTCCTTGATGCCCTTGTGCAGCTTCATGTGGTGGCGCAGCGCGTGTTTCGTCTTCATGCCTGGGGACACAGGAGGCCAGGCTGTGCCAGCTGGGCCCTCCAGAGCCCGCTCCAGCTGCCCACGCCCTGATGCGGCCTGCCTATACGGGGACCTCGGAGGTCTGGGCTCCACCAGCCACAGGACTGGCACCACCCCAGAGCCACTGGAGACTAACCGCAACACCAGCTGCTGCAGACGTCCATGACTTACCACCGTGACCCAACTGGACAAGTTGGAGAGGGAGGGAGGGAGGGGGGTGACTAGGGCTTCCTGCCCATCTTGACAGAATGTTAGTCAAGATGCCAGGACACCACGTGATTGAAATAAGCACCCCCATCTACCTTTAGTGCATGTCAACACAGCCCATCTGAGGGAGCTCATGGGGAGGGGGCACCCCTGAACAAGGCCCGGGTCGGGGGAGCGAACAGTCTCAAAGAGCCCAGGACCAGCTGGGTGTACAATGTTGTGCCTGAAACCCCAGCAGGAGCAGCAAGGGCCCGCGGGCAGCTCACGCACCCTGGCTGGCTCATGCACCAGGGCAGACTGTCCAGTCCCGCGGGCCCTAAGCTTTAAAAGAAATCAGGTGGGGCTGGGATTGTGGCTCAGCGGTAGAGCACTCGCCTAGCACGGGCGGGACCCGGGTTCGATCCTCAGCACCACGTAAAAATAAAAGGAACTGTGTTGTGTTCATCTATACCTAAAAAAGCCAATAAATATTAAAAAAAAAAAAAAAAGAAAATCAGGCAATATTTAACTGTTTTGATTTGAAAGATCGCTAGGGTGAATTTTTAGGTAAAGAACAAGCAAGCACAACATTTGCTTGTGTTTGCATTGAATGAAAAGAGGGCAAAATGACAATACCAAATCTGTCATTTTAAACCATCATAGAAGTGGGGACCCAAACACTAACTTGCGGTCTACCCAAACCACCTGGAATTCAGGAAGGAAATCAGGGAACGCAGCATTTACCATGTTTCAAATATCAAAATTTACAACTGCGGCTTTGACCACATGCACGTCTTGCCTTGGGCTCTCCTGGCACACAGGCTCTCGCCAGACCTCAGAGTAGCACGTGGACTCCACCTGGTGTGGTCCTTCTGTCCCCAGGAGGTATCCCTTGCCATGATGGTCTACTGCTGACCCTTCCCATCTCCTGGCTGCCTGAAGCAGGACCCCTTCAGCCAGGTCTGACTAATTTTCTAAAAATTTCAACTTTTGAGGGGTTAGAGAGGGAAGGGGAGGTGACAGCAGGTGAAGGGGCTGGAGAGCTTATGGCCCATCTGTACCATGCTGCTTTCTTCTTGTTTCTTGGGGAGGGGGCGGGTACTGGGACTTGAACCAATACATAGGTGCTTTACCACTGAGCTATATCCCCAGACCTTTTTTTTTCTTTTTTTTTTCTTTTGTGGTGCTGGGGATTGAACCCAGGGCCTTGGGCATGCGAGGCAAGCACTCTACCAACTGAGCTAGATCCTAGCCACTTAGTATTTGTTTATTTTGACAGGGTCTTGCTAAGTATTTGAGTATCTGGCTAAGTTGATGAGGCTGGCCCTGAATTTGCAGTTCTCCTGTCTCAGCACCCAAAGTTCCTGGGGCTACAGGTGCGCACCACTCTGTCGCTTTCTCAGTAAAGAAACCTGTGTGATATTCTTTCCCACAGCCATTCTGGAGGAGGGCAAAGCGCAACTGTGCCCTTGCCTACAGCCACCTGGGAGATGGAGGGCAATCTCTCTGCAGCTGTGACCTTGCCCACAGCCACCCTGGGAGATGGAGGGCAATCTCTCTGCAGCTGTGACCTTGTACACAGCCACCTGGGAGATGGAGGGCAATCTCTCTGCAGTTGTGACCTTGCCTACAGCCACCTGGGAGATGGAGGGCAATCTCTCTGCAGCTGTGACCTTGTACACAGCCACCTGGGAGATGGAGGGCAATCTCTCTGCAGCTGTGACCTTGCCTACAGCCACCCTGGGAGATGGAGGGCAATCTCTCTGCAGCTGTGACCTTGCCCACAGCCACCCTGGAGGATGGAGAATATCCTGCAGCTGTGACCTTGCCACGGCCACCCAGGAGGATGGAGGACAACCTCCCATTTTGACCTTACTCTGAGACCTTGTCCACAGCCATGCTGGAGGTCAATAAGAGGTGCTGGAGAGGAGGTGGGAGGACGATGTCTCGTTCCCTGGTTTCTCTACACTGAATTCTTTCTTACTCTATCAGTGTTTTTCATATGCACTATTAGGGCCCATATGGTGCACAGAATTACTGACATTTGAGTTTTCTTCTGTTCAGTTTTTGTAAAAACCAAAAAAGGAAAACAGTAAAACCACTTATGGACTATGAAATGCTAGAAAGTGCTAACCACAAAGCAGGTAACCTTGGTTTGTCTGGCAGCTGAATGGGCTGCCCAGCAGCAGAGCCTGTGGCATCACCAGAGTGGCCCAAGAATGACCTGACCCCAACCCCCCCCTCCCCCGAGTCTTGGGAGGACTCTGAATTTTTCTAGTAGAAACGGGTCACAACTGCAGCATGCCCCAGGTTCTCCTCCTCCCTCCTGATCTGCACGTCTCCTTGGTGGCTTCTTAGCAGCGAGCTGCCTGTGTGTCCCGCCGCAGCTCCTGGCTCGCGAAGCAGCTGCTCCATACCACTCGCCACGCCTTCCCTTTCCTGTTAAGGGCACCACTGAAGCCCGTGGGTCTCCTGGGGCACCGGTGGCACCCGTATCATTGTGACCTGCCAGTTCCTGCCCCACCTCCTTGGAGAAAGCAGTGAGACCGCGAGGCCCCGTCTGGAGGAGGTGCGCACCTTTCCCACACTCGGCGCACAGGTACTCGCGGATGTTGTCATGCACGCGCATGTGCTCCTTAAGCATGTCCTTCCTGGCGAACGACTTCCCGCACTGCTCGCAGGCGTGGCTTTTCACACCTGCAAGACAAGGCAGCATTTCAAAGGGTGGCGCTGGGATGGGCCACCTCTCCCCAGCCTGCACAGAACCGCTCCAGGGTCCCTGGCCTGAAAAATTCCCCGAGGACATGGAGGGGGCTGGGCCATGAGCACAGGGTGGTGGGGGTCGGAGAAGCTGGGGGACAGCAGAATGTACTCGGGGGAGGCCGGGGGCTGCCAGGCTCAGGTGCAGGGAGAGCCCTGGCAACCCCAGCACTGCCTGCTCAGGCCCCACTCCTGTGGGAACAGGCTACCTGTGTGGATGAGCTTGTGTCGCTCCAAGTTCCCAATGCTGTTGAAGATCCGCCCACAGATCTCACAGGGGTGAATGTATCTGAAACCAAAGAGGAGCTTCAGGACGCGGCCCCAGCTCGAGTGGCCCGTCAGGGAGAGGACACGCTCCCAACACCTCTATAGGCACAAGTGAGGCAGAAGGTGCCACGTGTGGACAAAGTGGCACATGCTTCAGCTCTATGATGGGCGAAACCGTGTGCCCATATCCCTGGGCATTAGCCCCAGCCCCAGCCCTCGGACAGTGACTGTATTTGGAGACGGGGTCTTTGGAGATGTGAAGGTAAAATGAGGTCACTGGGATGGCCCTGATCCAATCTAACTGGTGTCCCCAGAGGAAAAGATCGGGACACAGGCACACACAGGGGCTGACCCTGTGAGGAAATGGGGTTGGGGGACACCACTGGCCAATCCCGTGACTCCTTGGCCTCCAGGGCAGAGCGGAGGCTGTCTGCTGCGTTGGCCCCCCCATCTGCACTGGGTCACAGGTGCCCTGGGAGACCAGGCTAGCCTGAAGGCAGCATGTCACTCGCTCGCCACACAGCCCTGATCACGTGCCACGTGCCAGAGCCGGGGCTGGCACCAGGGAAACCGAATCACTGGGAGGAACGGGCTTCATGTCGTCCTTCAGCTGTGCTGAGAACTGGGCTACTTCTCTCCGAAAGTCCTACCGGGGAGGCGAGGGTGAGGCCTGGGTGGATGGGCACCCAGAGCCCTGGCGCAGCTGTTGGCCGAGCACCCTGCCCTGCCTCACTGCCCATATCCACTGCACTGCGGGGCTGCAAGCTGGGGGCCTCACTTCTGCACGTTGGGGTCGGGCAGGTTCTCGCGGTGGATGACCATGTGGGCGTGGTAGGTGGCCTTGAGGGCGAAGCGCCGGTGGCAGGTGCTGCAGCCGTAGCCCTTCTCCTTGTGCACCTCCATGATGTGCTTCAGGTACTCCTTCCCGCGGCCGAAGGTGAGCTGCGGGGCAGGCCAACCGCTGACACCCAGGCTCTGGGCCTCTGCTTCGCCAGAGGTCACCAGGCCCCATAGGGACCGTCACTGTGCGGGGCAAAGGACACCCAGGGGCTGGCAGGAGCTGCACATTCCTGGCAGGGGTGCCTGCCGGTTGGCTGCCACCTGCACAACAAGCTGACAAAAACTCGGGGCGGGGTCCCCGGAAGTGAGCTGCCTCCCTTTAAGACGCCTCTTCTGAGCACAGGGGAGACCTGGGGGGGCTTCAGGATGGAGCGGGGAGAGGGACAGAGGGAGCCTGGCCTACCCTGCTCAGCACTGCCTGTGTAGGTGCAGGAGACCCGGGGCTGGGCTCTGCAGGGCTGTGAGCCCAGTCCCCCTCCCCGGGCCCGGGAGACCTGGCCTTTAGAGGCAGGCGCCTCCCACGCTCGCACGGGTGCCCTGGGGTCCGTGCAGCGTCACAGCTGGCAGTCACCTCCTGGGCGTCTCAAGGTCGGCTGGCCCGAGTACCTGGCACCTCTTGCAGCTGTACTTGTGGGGCTCCGAGTCCGCGCTCTCGTCGGAGTTGTCATCGTTCTCCTCTGAGGAGATCCCGATCTTGCCGATGAACTCCTCCCGCTGGTGGTCGTCCATGAGCGCAATGTCCTGGGGAAGCCACATTCCTGCCTCACGTGGGCCCAGCTCTGCCCGGCATGTGCAAGGCTGACGAGCCAGGCCCGAGGCACTACCTTGCTGCGTCCGAGGACCCCGGGCCTGCCGCTCACGGCCTGGGGTGCCATGCTCTCCTGCCCCGCCTTCTCACCCCCTCTCCAGGGCCCAGAGAATGCCACCTCGTGCCCAGGGCAGAGCTGATGGAGGCTTCCCAAGTTGGCCCAGGCGCTCCCCAGCCCGTTGGGCCTTTGGTTCCAACCGCTATTTCCTCCTTTTTCTCTGGGGTCAGTACTTCTGTGGCCTGAATCACAACAAGGCCACCCTCCAAGGAGGGAGGGACAGAGCACCACCCACATGCTACTCTCCCCGTCAGCCCACACCGAGGAGCCGCACTTCAAGCCCGCAGCTGGACCGTGTCGCTAGCTAATGCAGGCATGGAAGTCAGCCTGAAGAGATTCACGGTGGCCAGGCTGACAATCGTTTTGGGGGACAGTGATGGTTTGAACGTCTGCACCCCTCAAATTCATGTGCTGAAACCTCAGCCCCAAGGTTATGGTGCCGGGAATTGGGCCTCCAAGGTGGCGAGGCCGCCAGGGTATGTCCCTTGTGACTGGGACTGGTCTCCTGCAGTAGGCCCTGAAAGCTCCCCCCACCAGGTGAGGACACAGCGGACAACAGCCTTGGCCCTCGCCACAGACTCTGTTAGCACAACCGCAGCTAAGATGCTGGCCCGGGGCCTGGCACGCTGTGTGTCACTGGGAAGCTGGCGCATGCCTGACACCTTGAAGTGGACGTGGATGTGGTCCCTGAGCACGTCCACGCGGAAGAACTTGCGCCCGCAGATCTCACAGGTGTACTTCTTGTCGCCGTGGGTCAGCAGGTGCTTGTTCATGTTGCTGCGGCAGGAGAATACCTGGGGGCAGAGGGGCCGCACCGTGGGGAGGTGAGGGCTGTGCCCATGGGACACAGAGCAGACTGTCACCTCGGCCCACAAAACACAGGGCGACTTCTCCTAGACTCTAAGCCCCAACAACTCAAGTGTGAGACCCGCACGTCATCCCCGGCACTGGAGCAGGGTGACCCACTGTTTGGATCCCTGCTCACGCCACAGTCCACAAAGGGCCCAGCCCCGTCCTCACTGTGGCTACACCTGCTCGAGGGCTTCCACGGGCACTAAGTGTTTTGCTATCGTGGTCCCAACCAAGAGGCCAGCGAGTCAAAAACAGTGCAGCTTTGGGAAGGTGGATGTCAGAGAAGGAGCCAACCCTCAGTGAGTGTGTGGGGCTCCTGCACACTCGCCCCACATCCCTGCTGCCCTGGCATCCCCAGTGTGGTAACGTCCATCGCACACTCATCCCCAGGGTCACCTGTGTGGAAGCCCCTAAGCCCACTGGCGGAGGGGCAGACAAGGCAGGCAGCTGAGTGTCTCCACCTGGATGGCGTTCCCGGGGGGTAGGTAACAGTGCAGGTGTCTGGAGGCACCTTGCCCCCTAGCTCTGCACCCTCCCACTCTGGACCAGACACCAAACCTTCACTGTAGTTCAGGTTCATGGGGACCCTGAGGCCACACTGCACAGTTGTCCCATGAGCTTTGTCTTGCTCGGAGGTTTAAAAAAAATATCAGAAAATCTCATATAAAAATATGGATTTCCATTTTTCCCTGAAAAGGTCAAAAGATCTAGCATTGGTGCCACATGTTGGCAGGCAGGGACCGCCAGTGTGAAGAGACCTGTGTCCCCGGGGCTGGGGCACCTGGCATGTGACACTGCCGCAGGAGCCAGCACCAGGTGCTTCACGTGAGCCATGTGGCTGTGACAGGTCCAGGAACGCCCCCTCCTCTTGGTGACTCCCAAGACCACTGGGTGACAGCGGTGCCACGTGGGAACTTCTCTGGGCAGCTCCACTGCGGCACCTGCCTGGATGCTGTGAGGACACGAGTCCTCTGAGGAAGAGTCGGCAACACCCAGGGAGTGGACACTGCGGCCAACACAAGCGGCAGCACCCTTCTCCAAACCAGGTTCTCATCTGCAAGAAATGGGCCGTGCCTCCACGGCAGCCCGCACGGCGGTGGCAGCCAGCAGGATGGGTTCTGAGCAGCAGACGCACGTCCCTAGACACCAGGTCACACCAGAGCAGCCACTCTGGGCACGGGGGTCTGCTCGTATGGAGGCTGTCACTTGCTGTCTGGATGTCAGGTGTCCCCAAAGCTCCTGCTGATGCAGGAAACTGCAGAGGTAAAGCGGCTGCACTGTGAAGGCTGTGACCCAAGAAGTCCAGCCCAGCCTGGAACCGCTGGCAACTGCAGACAGGTGGGGCGTGGCTGGGGGGGTCACTGGCCCCTCTGCTCCCAACCTGCCAAGAACCCAGCGGCTTTCCTCACTGGGCCCTTCCACCATGATGTCCCGCCTCTCCTGGGCCCAGCAGTGGAGTCAGCATCTATGGGCTGAGACCTCTGAAACTGCGAGCCCCAAACCAACCTTTCTTCTTCTAAGTTGTTCTTATCAGGTATTTTGGTCACAGCAACAAAAAGCTAACCACAGCCATCACCATGGAGGGTCATCTGTAGCCCTGCCTCAGGAGTGGTCACCAAGAATGGCTCATCTCTCCCTTAGAAAAGGTGGCCTGCCTTTTCTGGGCAGGGGAGACCAGCAGGACAGGCCACATAAAGCTCTGTGACCTCCCACTTCCTTTGGTGCCCGGGGCCAGGTCCTACCACCAGGACGAGATCTAAGGAGTGGGAGCCACAGAGCAGCGCGGGCGAAGCTCACCGCAGCGGGGAAGGGCTACGGAGGAACAAGTGCGGCCTCAGCACGTTCACTGGAAAGCCATCCTCGGTGGCAGAGACCGAGCGGCAGGTGTGGGGTGAGAGGACAGCTGTTAGACCCGAGCAGCAGCCGCCGCCCTCAAAACTCCCCGAGGTGCTTGGGCCAGGCAGCCCTGGGCCCGCCCTCACGGCCCCATGCCCCTCGCAGACATTACCTTGCCACACACCGGGCATCCGGAGGGCTCCTTCTTGTAGCGCACCAGGCTTTCCCCGCCAGCCTCCAAGTCCTCTCTCTTCACCCGCCGCACTCCTGAAATCCCCGAAACCCCCACCAGGCAGAGTGAGCACACAAGGAGTAGGTGGGGTGGAGCACGGCCGGCCCTCCCAGCTGGACAGCGGGCTGGAATGTCCTCAGAGGACGGACCAGCTGCCTACACACCGGGGCACCAGCAGCAAACAGCAGCTCCTGGGGAAGGAAGAGTGGTGTGCTGCCCTCGGGACTGGCAAGGGCCTCGCACCCAAGGCTGCAGAGCTTGGGCACCCAGCGCCGGGCCTCAGCACACAGCTGCGGTGCTCTTGTGCCAGCACCTGATCGAAAGCTCGAGGCCGAGCGAGTCCTGCAGATGGCTGTAAGCAGGCAGACTTTCATTTTTTTATTAAAAAGATACTAACTTTCATGTCTTCCAACTAAAATCAGTCAAATCAGGATCAGAATAAAAAGTCGGCAGGTAATAAAATCTCTGGTTTTAAGGAAAAGTTTTCAAGACCAGGGTTAAAACAGACTTTTTTGCCAGGTATGGTAGCACATGCCTGTTTATCTCAGCAATTTGGGAGGCCGAGGCAGGAGGATTTAAGTTTGAGGCCAGCCTTAGTAACTTAGTGAGGCCCTAGGCAACTTAGCAAGACCCTATCTCAAAATACAAAATTAAAAAAGGCTGGGGATGTAGCTCAATGGTAAAGCACACCGGATTCAATACCCAGTATTAAAGCATAAACAAAACAGACTTTCAGAGGAACTGTGACATTTAATTGAGGTCCCAGTATCTGGGCGGCTGGAGCAGGAGAGCAGCTGGAGCCCAGGGGTTCAAAACAACATGAAATTCAAGTCAGAGCTCATGTGAAACAGGTCATTTCTCAACCAGAGAGAAACACGTCCTTAGGTCCTCAGGTCTTGAGCCATGGGCAGAGCCAGCGCGTATGCATCAGGCAGAGTCCAGAAGGCTCCAGGGCACAAAGGTGCCACGCGGGGTCTGAGGCAGGGTGTGGTCTAGATGAAGGAAACACCACAGAATGGCCTCAAGGCCAAGAGCAGACGCCACAGAAACGGGGTCTGGGGGAGGTATGAGTTATGGCTGCAGCCCAGCCACCTGGACATGGGGACAAGGGGCCTCTGACAGGGACCACAGTGGCAGACAGCTGCCAGCACTTGCTCTGTGCTGTGCCGTGCTGGGAGCTGGTTGAGCAGGGTCTGGTGCAACCAGACATGGACCTGGGGAGGGGGGCCACGGTCCCCGCGGAGAGAGCCCGCGCAGCTGTGAAGCGCCCTGGAGGCCGGCTGCGGGTCTCTATGGAGCAGCGCAGGGAGGGCCTGCTGAAGACCCCGTGGGCTGCAGCCCAGCCTTGTTTGTAAGGGCCCGGGGCACACGAGGACACAGGCGAGTCACAGAGCACAGCAGCCGCGGTTTCACCCTGGCCCCCTCACGAGTGCGTGGCTGCGGTTCTCTGTGACGCTCCAAGCGTCAGTGAGCTCTGCTCACGAGGGCAGCTGCCCCAGGACTGCTGGAGCGGAAACAGTGAAAACACGCGACGTCCTGGGTCAGGCCTCGGAACCCTCGGGTCACCCCGGGGTCCCCCAACCAGCAGCAGCTGCGCGGCGCACAGGGCTCTTCCTAGGCCTGCGGCGGCTGGGCGACTGCTCGCCCCCAGCCCAGCTCCCTGGGTCCCATTCACCCTGCTGCTGCCTCCAGGGTCCAGACTGGCCCTGTGGACGGGCCCTGCTCTGGCTCTTCGAGCCCTCTGTGAGGACGGACAGCCCCAGGCCAGTTGTGCTGGTGACCACGAAGGCACAGAGCGTGAGGAACGAGGGACGGTTGTGGCCCCCCAACGGCGCCCAGCAGCTCTCTGTGCTGCACTCTGCTGAGAGCCCACCGTGCGCCTGACGCCCAGCTCCTCTGACCTGCTGCCCCACTGGAAGTAGTGTCACACAACATTATAAAAGCCTTTAAGGAAATTCTTCTACTGACCACTTGGCGTGAAACCCTACGCCCGAGGGTCCTCGGAGTCTCTCCCGGGCTCCTCCCGAGCGCTCACAACACCACCCCCACCCCTTGGGCGCTACGTGCTGGCCGGGCCTGGGGAGCCACGAGGCAGGCAGCGGGCATTTCTGGGCACTGCCTAACTGCTTCCCTGGAGGCGGCAGGACGCCGCCGTGGCCCCCAGCCCGCCCTTCGCGGGTGCCTGCGGCCCACCTTCCAGGTGCCGCCTCTGGTGGTCCAGCATGACGTCCTTGCGGTAGAACATCTTGCTGCAGACCTCGCAGGCGAACTTCTTGTCCCCGTGCTTCTTCTTGTGCTTGGAGAGGTTGCTGTTGGTGGAGAAGAATCTGAAACACATCTCACATTGGAACGTCTTGTCATCTGTCCAGAGAGCAAACACACACACAGGCTCCGGGTGAATAACTCCTGGCCAGGCTCAGCGTGTGTCTTGGTGCTAGAGAAGGGCAGGGCTGGGGCAGGAGCCTGCCAGCACGCGGGCCTCTCCACGCGGGGCACACGGTGAGCGCGTGCGCCCCATAGCCCTCCTCCTTCCCCAAACTCGAGACCCCCAGCCTGCGCCCTCAGCTCGTCCACCTGTACCACCCAGACCCCAGGGGGCTGTCCTCCCCCTCGAGGCTCAGCCCACCTGCCCCCCATGGCACCCTCCACAGGCTCCTTCCCCACCACACAGCGCCTCAGAGTTCTCCACTGTCCGCAAACTGCCTCCTAGTTCTAGGTCTCTCTTTAGTGGACAAATCACCCCAACACACACTCCCCACACTCTCCAAGCCCCCAGCGATACCCACACCCTGTGCCCTGGGTCCTAAATCTAGTCCCTTCTTGAAGGTAGCCCATCAAACAGCAGGTCCTACCCCTCAGCTCCTGAGTTGCTCCATGCCATCTCTGTCCCATGGCACCCTCCCTCCCTCCAAGTACAGGGCCCCGGCTCCTCTCAGCGAGCCCTGCAGAGCTGCCCTCCTCCCTATGCTGCGACGCAGTGGACCTGACGCAGGTACACAGGTGTGTGACACAGGGGTCATCTCCCTTGTCCAGAGTGACGCACCAGGCTCCAGCCCACTGACCAATTCCCACACAGTCTGTGTTGCCAGGCACGTCCCTGAGGCCCAGGAAGAGCCACTGTGCTCTGCTGCCCCCTGTGCTGGCCCTGCCTGCTGCACTGGAGCCACCATGGACCCAGGTGCTCTCAGGGATGACGTTTGAGCTGGGTCACCTGCCCTGGGCCCTGGGGATGCAGAGTGACACCCTGGCCTCTACCCACTAGATGCTGCATTCCCGCTGGCCCCAGGCGGCTGTGACGCCCGAGATGCCTCAGACACTGCCCCTGCCCCTGCAGTTGAGGCCTGCTGGCCAGGACGTCTTTAGCTTCACTCAGGTGGCTCCAGCGTGCACCTAGGGAGGGAAGACCACACGCACCCAGGGTCACGCAGCCTCACTCCCACCCCAGCAGGTAAAGGCACGAGGACAAGCCCTCTGGCTTGGGAGCCGAGGGGAGGGGGCAGTGGGGACAGCAGTGTCTCTGTGGGCTTCATGCCCAGCAGGACAGCCTGGCTGCAGGCCCTGCATGAGGCCTCCGCCACCCGGGCCAGGAGAAGCTGTCAGGAGGACACTACGCAGCCTCCCTTCCCCGCCATCACTTTCATGGTTAAGCTGGTCCCTCTCGAGGCGATGCGCGGTTTCTTTGTGGCCCAGTATTGGAAAGCTTTGCCCCCTTCAGGGCCTGCTACGCGTGCACACTCATGCACCCCCTGCAGGATGCGTGTGCCTGTGACATGCAGCATTTTCACCATCGTTTCCAAGGGTGCTCCGAGTTCTACCTGGTTCATCTACCGCGACTCCGCGATACCTGGCACTGCAGGTGACTCAGCAATGCACTCCTCAGTGGTGCAAGTTACCTTCCACTCACTTCCTAAATGTGCATCCTCAGGATGGGTCCGCTGGGGACCCGCTGCTGTGAGACTTTGTGAGTCACATTTGTAGGTTGTTCCATTAAATTACCAAAGACCCCCCCACACCTGAGCCTGCTGAGCAGCCCAGGGGAGCCTTCTTCATGACAAGTGCTGAGCAGCCCAGGTAAGCCTCTTTCAGCAGAGGGCTCACTAATCTGGGGGCCTGGCACCCTGGGACACAACAGTGCTGCGCTGGGCTACAGCATTCTCTGTCCCAGCTTTGGAAAGAGACCCCCACTTCAAACCATCCCCTGAGCCCACAGTGGCCTGTGCTCAGTGAGGGCAGAGCTGGGGCAGAGCCGTCTGGACTCTGCCTCCTGACCCCCACACATGGAACCCAGACAGGCTCCGTGTCCCAATAACCATCCCTGCCCCAGCGACCCCACTGCCAGGGAAGTCCACGCTTATGAGGTAATAAATGCAGCACAGAGGACAACGCCTGGGGCCCGGGAAGGGTGCACTGAGGGGACGTGGACTGCTAGGAGCCACCCTCTCAGAGAATGAGGGTCCCCCTGTGCCTGAGGACAGGACGTGCTCCTCTGCTGCTCCCTAGCACCCTCTTCAGGTCAAAGACAGCAGTGAACACAGAGAAGACAGCAACACCAGTCACAGCACAGGGACACAGGGACCCAGGGGACCCAGGAGGACACAAAGGTGGGCCTGCTGGGCAGCTTGTGAAAAGCCTGCCAACCACGTCTTCAGACTTTCCCTCACTGGACAAATCTGAACTCAATGGTGGGAGGACGTGCGTTCCCCTAGGGCAGCACCCCAGAAGGCCAAGGGCACAAGTCGTGCAGATGAGCAGACCACAGGCGGCCTTCCATTTCAGCCTTGGCTCGAACCTTGGAAACAGAGCCTCCAAGGAGGAGAGCTGCCCGCTGCCCACCTGCCCTGCCCTTTCTACACAGCCCACAGAGACAAGGTCGGGCTCAGCGGAACTCTGAGCTGGCAGGTATCTGCTACTGTTCTGGTCACCTTGCTTCACTCGGGTGCACAAAAACAGTTAGAAGAGGACAGCGTCTCTTTCCTAGGCCTGACTGGCCAGTAGCAGAGTGAGACTGGCTTGTCTGCCTGCCCGGTGCGTGCAGAGCAGGGACATGAGGCTGAGGCCTGCCAGGCCCTGGGCACACCTGAGAAGGGGGCTTTGAGTCAGGAAGCAGCACGCTGGACGTTCACCCGGAAGCTTCTGGAGGCTGCACCTGCCCCAGACAAGAATGCTCCAGGTGCGAAGGCCCAGAGAACGCGGCCCCGCTGCCCTGCTCAGCCTGACGCAGCAAGGAAGGCGTCCTGGGCCCAGGCAGAGGGGACAGGCCACGGTCTCAAAGCAGAGTCTTCAAAACAGAAGAAACACACAGACAGACAAATGGGGAAGAGTGGCAGACACAGGAAGGACAGCCCGGCTGGGCAGCAGGGGCAACAGGGCTCAGAGACACGGCGGCTGGCCAGCACCCCGGCGAGGGCTCAAACGGAGGCGCGGACGGACAGCACGACCAACAAGAACAGGTGGGGTTGAGGGCTAACCTGGTAGGTCTCTAAGCCGATTGCCACTGGTCCCCCCCTCTCCCGGGTTTGCTATGAGTCCTAGAGAGAGGGAGAACACAAAGCAACAGTGACCCTCCCTCCAGCTCCCTCTGGTCTGCCCACTACTTGGGCCTCCACTGGGGCAACTGGGAGAAGCAGGGCTCCCCCACCCAGTGGGGTGCAGCCAGGCAGGACAGGTGCCTGCTGGCCCTGTAGCGTGCTTCCCTCCTCACGGACATGCCTCTACGTTCACGCTTCATGGCTGCTGTGAGCACAGCCTGAGGTGTCCCGCCAGGGAGGCCGCCTCCCCAGCACAGGCTCCGCGGAGCACAGAGCTTCCAGCCTCTCACGACAATTACGCGGTTTCACTCTCCTTTTGGGGACTGGTAGACAGAGCAGGCTCAGAACCAAGTGATCTGGCAGGGAGGCAGCAAAGCCCTCTGCTGGGTGCCAGCAGGGACACAGGCGAGACAACGGGTGGAAAACTGTCCCACAGGCGCAGGGCCCTCTCTTCCCAAGCCCTGTCCCCACCTTCTCGTTTCTCTCGGGGGCCCTGCTCCACAGTGGCCTTAGACAGGGGTCCCAGGAGCACAGGAAAGGACACACATCCTCTCTGGCACGAGCACTTCTGACCTATCTCCAGAGTAAGTGGCGACTGCACCCAGGCAGAAGGAGCGGGAGGTCCAGCTGGCTGCTCGCTGCTCAGCACGGCCTCGCTTCTGAGGCTCAGCCTCTGCCCTGCTGAGCACGGGCCACATGGGATGGGACAGCCCTGCGCAGCCTCACCTGTCCGGCAGTTGTGAAACTCCAGCGCGCTCTCCATGCGGAAGGTCTTCCCACAGGTGCCACAGCGGTACCGGTACTCGCCGTCCACCTGGTTGAGGAGACAAGTCAGAAAGGGAGGCCCGCACGTGGGGCCAGACCACTCCCTCCTGGGCTGGCTATGCCACAGCCCTTCTCTCCTACTCCACCTAGGGGCTGTCCAGCTGCCCTAGAGGGAGAACCATGCTGGGAAACCAAACTCCAAGCACCCACCACTCCTCCCCATGCCCCGCCGACATCTACCAGGCTGGGCAGCTGGTGGAGGCCAGGGCCGGAGGACAGGGTGCAGCAGGACTCCAGGAGGCTCAGCTCCTTACAGCCTGTTCCCCAGGCTACCAGTCCACCCACCTCGTTCCTGCTGTGCTTGTAGGAGACGTGCTGCTTCAGGCTCTCCTTGCGGCTGAACAGCTTTGCACATTCTTCACACTTAAACAGCTTGTCACCTGAGGAACCGAAGGAACCAGGTCACTGCTTCAGGCACTCACCAGGCAGGCCGCCCGCTCTGCTGACGGCCCAGGTGCGTGGGAAGCTCAGTGGCCCTGTGCGGCGGGACGCGGCCTGGCACTCACCGTGGGAGCGCACGTGCCTGCTCAGGTTGCTGCTGTTCTGGAAGACCTTGCTGCAGATGCCACACTGGTGCACCCGCTTGTGCTCCCCCAGCTGCCTCGCCAGCTTCCGCCGGATGCCGTGTCTGCTGGACAGAACCAGGCTCCTCTTGAGGGCGATGGTGCTGCTCTGATGGTGTGTGAACCTGCCCAGTCGAGACAGGTGGAGACTCAGCGCTCAGAGAGCACGAGTCCAGGTTGCCGTCACCTTGGAGGGGCCTCCCACCAACACCTGCCCGAGACCGAGACTGCCAGAGAGGAGGGCAGGGCCGCGCCACTGCAGCTCCAGGCAGCTCACAGGCAAGGCCTGGACCTCAGGCAGCACCGCCAGGTGCCCTGTGACAGACACACTTCCATCAGACAGCCCGGAGCTCGGGTGGAGCCTGGACTGTACCACCTGTGTTCCAGTGTCCCTCTTGGTCCTAGTCACAGGAGCCAGAGACGCAGAGATGGAGTGAGGCACTCCTCATTGGGGTGCTCTCATGCCTTACAGAGGAGGCGTGCCAACATGCGACATCATGGACAGACCTGCAGAACAGCAGGCTAGGTCCAGGGGACGACCACAGCAGGCTACTTATGTGGACCGGGGCACTGCGGGTGCCAGCAGCAGGGGAGACGGGAGTCACGTTGGATGGGGTCAGGGTTTCGTTGTGGGGGACAGGAGGTTCTGTAGATGGATGGCGGTGATGGCCACAGAACACCTGCACCTCCAGCTGAGCACTTAAAACGGCCAGAGGGGTGCGTTTCATGTCACGTGCACTTTGTCACCACAAAAAAAGCCTCAACTTCCCACAGTGGATGACCAGTAAGCTCCTGAGCTCCAGAACATTCTGATGCTTCCCAGGCATGCAGGGCTCTGAGGGCAGCTCGTGCCCACTCATGGGGCTCCCTGGGCGGGTAGCCACGGGGCGCTCCCCGCGAGGCTGCAGCGTCCAGGCAGGACTTACTTTGGCACCGTGCTGCCGTCGTGTGTGTGAGGAGCCAGCTTTCCCAAAACCAGCTCCACCATCCGCTCATCTGGAGTTGCGCTCACAGGCTCGTCTGGCGGGACCTCGGTGATGATCTCAGCCACTTGCTCTGTGCAAAGGGGACATGACAAGCCATGTCATTCCCTGGACGGGGACAAAGCCCGTCTATTCCAGGAGCGTGTGTTCTTTATGACAGCAGAGGGCTATAATGGTGGACCCATTTGTTGAACTTCAGAAAGGAAGAGAAGTAGGCTCACTCGGAGCCCCACGCTTGTGCCTTCCCAGTACAGAGAGACAGAACAGCTCCTGGACCCAGGGAGCTTCGTCATGGTGGCTCTGTTTTAAAGCTACATCGCTGTAACGTTACTTGCCTCTCCAACACATTCTGTACAGGTAATGGAATCTTTTAATTTATAAGCTAGTTCAGACAAATGTAGAACTTTTGGAATTAGATACACCACCTTGAGAATGTTCAAAAAGCAAGTAACCATTCTGCGAAAGAGTCAAATGTCAAATGCCCACAGTGACAGGCCCAGGCCAGGACAGGATGGATGAAACCTGGAAAGACCACGGCCACGTGCCGGCACACCTCTCCAGCCACGAGTGACACACCAGTGGCACACCCCTCTGCCCCTTCCCATCTTCTCCACCCGCCCGGGACAGCAAACTGTTCCTCCTCTGTCACTTCCCAACCAGCTGGGCCGGGCGGGGAGGACAGGGAGAGTGAAGACCACTCGCAGAGCTCCTCCAACTCCAGGACTTTCCTCGTTCACAAGAAACCCCAGGGCCGCCCAGAGAGTCAGAAGAAAGTCCAGTCCAGTGGTGTGGGTGGGAGGGGCTGGCCTCTGACCACATGCCCTGTCCTCAGGCATGAGGCCACTGGGGCTCTGCTGCAGCCAGCAGCTCGGGCAGAGGCCACGCGAGGACTGCAGGGCCGAGCTCTGTGGAGGCTGCACACACAGGAAGTGAGGCCCGCACGATGAGCTCCACCAGGGCCGGCCCCAGAGGCCACGCACAGGAGTGGGTGAGCAAACTGTGGGCATCTGCACAATGGGCCAGATGCTGGCAGTGCTCAGGAGACGGACACTGACAGACCTGATGGACAAGCCTCACGCCTGGACGCTCCTGTGAGAAGCTGGGAGTCCTGGCACGGGCAGCCTAATCCATGCCCAAGACCACAGGGGAGTGCTGGGAGGTGGGAGTGTCCTCTGTCCTGATGGCAGGACGGGTCACACGGTATGCTGGGTTGTCAGGCTCCATAACCCTTTTGTGTACGATGTGTCACGGGGAAACTGCATTTCACAGGGCTGAGGGGTCGGGGCGGGCTCCCACATGGCCTCTGTGTGGAGGGGAACAGGTGAGTGGTCCCAGGCCACCCGTCAGCCAGCATGGCTCTCACCTGCTGGCTCTTTGTCCTCCACGATGACCAGAGGCTGCTCCGGCTTTGATGCTTTGGATTTTCTCCCCCTTCGAGGCTTTTTCTTCTGCTCTTTGGTGGCCCTGCTCTGGACGCTGGCACTCTCCGGCACTGCAGGGGGCTGCACCCGGGGCGGCTGAGGCTCCTTCTCTGGGGCTGCCTCATGATGGCTGCCGGCAGGAAGGCCTTTCGCTTGCTCCAGGTGGCCCAGGAGATGCTCTGCAGGAGGGAGCAGCAGTTAGGAGCAGTGTGCCCGCCCTGCCCCGTCCTGTTCCCACAGTGGGCCCTCGGCACGGGAAACGAAGACCACACGCCACTGCACCCAACACAGCCAGGCCAAGCCTCCCTTCTCCGACGTGCCCGCGGCCGGAGCTTTTCAGACTCAGGAGGACTGTGGACTTGGGATTTCAGAACTTCACAGCCTTTCAGATTTTGGATTTTCAGAGGAGGGATGCCCAATTTGTAAATCACGTGAGGAAGGCAGGGCAGGTTCACCACAAAGGCAGCTTTGCACACCATGAAAGCACACGCAGACACCAGCACAGAACACACGCACAGGGCGCCCTCTCTGTGATGCAATTACAGGTGACACCTCTAAGCTCATTTTTATTTTCTATTTATTTTAGTTTTATTTTCTTATTTTTATTTTTAGTTTTCCTGCAGTGAATAAGTGGTACTTACTAAAAAGGTAGCATCTGAAGAAGACGATTAAGAAAAACTCAACCCATAATAAAATTTTCTTTAAAAACACTACATCAAAGCAAAAGGGCTTTGCTCTGTTTTCAACTTGGGAAAGCCTGGGAGACTGCAGTGGGCAGATCACAGAGAGCACAGGAAACGGCAGGCAGGAATGGCACTCAAGGCCAAGGCGGCCACCACGGCAAATGGAAGGCAAGTGGCTCAGAGGAGCTGAGCTGCCGGGCACAGAAAGGAGGAGGAGGGAGTGGCCAGGGGACGAGGGGACCGGGCACATGCAGAATGGAGGCCCCTCTGCAAACTCGTGCCAAAGATCAGTTCTTCCCATGGAAAACCTGAACTATTCACCATGGGCACAGGCTCAAGAGGCTATTTCTCCTCGTTGGTTCAGTATTTAGAGGAACCTTGCAGGAGAAGCAGCCCCCAAACCCAGGTCCAGTATAGGAAAGACAACAAGAAAGACACAGCCAATGTCACACAGCCAACCAGCAGGACAAGTGGTCGACGCGCCCACCTGACTGAAAACACGGGGAGGCAGGTGCCCAGCAAGGGAAACGAGGCCTCTGCCCAACACACAGAGGGAGCTGACAGCCAGAGCGTGGGCACACGCTGAATCAGAGGCAAGCCGGGCTGTGGCCGTGGGACAGGCTCTTAGTGCACTCAGGGCCCAGGGGCTGGGAGACGCGAACTCAGGTCCATAAGGCAGGCACTATGGCACACCTATGATCTCAGTGATTCAGGAGGCTGAGGCAGGAGGATCATGGGTTCAAAGCCAACCTTAGCAACTTAGTGAGGCCCTAAGCAATTCAGTGAGACCGTATCTTTAGATAAAATATGAAAAAAGGCTGAGGATGAAGCTCATTGTTAAGCACCTATGAGTTCCACATGGACTGGGAGACACAGGCTCAGTTGGCAGAGGGCCGGGGGCTGGGAGATGAGGGCTTCCTCTCCCCCTTGCACCCAGGTGTGGCAGGCATTTGTGACAACTTCTGGCCATCTGTCAGACACCTTTCCTGTGCTCTGCGACATCTCCCCATCTGTGCCCCACCTTCCCAGGAACCCCCTCCCGGACCTCTGCAGGTCTGCGGCCTGGCTCTGGGGCAGTGAGGAAGCAGCAGCCCCGGGATGTGTTTCCTGGCAGGTCGGAGCAGGCGTCTGCTGTCCAGGCTGCAGAGTTTGGCTGGAGCTCAGTGCCAGTGTGGGTGGCGGCGCCTGAGCCCAGGGGTCTGCTGCAACAGCCCTGCGGCGGGCGTCGCTCCTTCTCACCCCTCCTGGGGATCCTGCTGCCTTAACGGCCTGGACCTGCCCCTTCCCATTCAAGCACCAGCAAGCGAGGTCTGTTGCTGGAGCAGCAGCCAGTGGGAAGGTGTCCTCCTGTCTGGACAGAGGCCCTCTTTTTCCAGTGGTCCATCCTCCAGCTTCCGGGGGTAAATGACATAGGGGTTCAAATTGAAACCCCTGCCCCGTGTGAAAATGCCCTTGTTCAAACCTAACCTGTAAGCAACACCTGGCTGGGAAAGTGTTTTCATCTGGGGCAAAGCAGGGTGACGCCATTTGGATTCTGTGTCATGTGTCATTTGCCCTCTCTGTCTCTCTCTTAGGCTCTTCTTCTAATCTCAAGTTTTCATTCATCAGGTGCCGCTGGCTCCTCCAGCGTGGAACCCAGTCCTCAGGCTCTGGGCATGTCCTCTGCCCTCCCCTTCCCCTGACCGCCCCTGGCCATGCAGGGTGGCTCAGGGTCCTCCAGCCTTCTCACCTCTTCTCCAGGGCATGCTGTCTTCATGCCCTTCCTCCTGGAAGACTCCCCCATGCTGTCCTCTGCGACCACAGCTGTTCTCTCCTGTCACCCTGCTGTCCTGAAGTCTGAGACAGCATGCTGCCCTGGCTTCCAGGTGCAGTGTCTGCCACTCACCGACTGCTACCTCTTGGGGTTCTGGACTTGGCTTGGTTTTCAGTTTCCTCAGAACAAGCCATTTTAAAGGGTGGTTTGGGGGTCTTCTCTTGCACTGGACTTTCTTCAATGTCCACAACACTCATGTTCCAGATGGGTGCATGGGGGCGTGGCTGGGCTTCCCTGCAGGATGGTTGGGGTGAGTGGCCATGTTGTGGGGGACAGCCATCTCTTCTTTCGGATTGGCCAGTTTCTCCCTAGGGATTCCCTCCCTGGAATGAACCCTGACCGCCCCTGTTCTGGGAGAAGGATTCTATTTTGGAGAAAGACATGAGGGAGAAGGGAAAGGGTCTCACATTTCAGGACTGAGACTTGCCGAGTCCCCGGGGCTCAGTTCTACTCCTGGTGTCCCCAGTCTTGTGTTCCTCTGTGCTGGCCCCTCCTGAAGGGGGACCCTTGGCCTTCTGCTGGGCCGACAGGGCAGTGATGCAGCTGAGGAATGGGGCAGCGAGCCAAGGCCTGAGCACGCCAGGCAGACTCCCAGCGACTGCCCTGTCCTCTCCTCCAGGCACGTGGCACTCCCAGCTGCCCACACTTCTGGAGCGCTGTGGCAGGAGTGGATGTGCTTCCTGGGTCCTGGCCAGTGTCAGTGGCTCCTGCTGGCTTGGTAGACGTCACCGTCCCACCTGCTGGCTTCCAGGCTGGCCTGCTGCCTCACGCTCCCCACTCTGTATAGACCCGTCATTCCCACAGGATTCCAGAGGGCACTCAATTAGTGCACCCACCGGTGCTCCCCACCCAGCCAGGGCCTCGGTGGACTCCTGAGGCATGAGCAGGCTCTGTGGCACCCAGGACAGCTGGCCCCTCAGGGAAAAGGACGAGAGCATCTACTTCCCCAGTTAACAACTGCCCCTGGGTCCTGGCCCTCTGCACAGTGGCCTGCAGCGCACAAGCCAACTGCCTGAAGTCACGCTTCCTCCAAGTTCAGCGAAGGAGAAACACAGAAGTTCAAGTTCAAAGTTGGTTTGGAAGTTAACCAAGCTCCAGGGCCCTGAAGCTGTAAAATTGAGCCTCCTCATGTCAGACAGGTGAGCCTCCCAGACACTGCCCCGCGGAAGGCAGCTTTGGCACGGTGTGGCCATGCGCCATGTGGCACCGTGGAGTCCTCGTGCAGCACTGCTGGTGCAAATGCATGGTCCATCCTCTGCAGACTGGCTCACCACAGGCTTGGACCTGTCCTCAGTGCCAGTCCACGGTGACACAGGGCCCTCCACCCTCAGCTCCTGGGCCATCAGGTTGTCCACAGGACACCCCAAGAGAGGCTGCAGCAGAAAGGAAAGCCTGTGATCCTGTGGGGGGTTCTGTAGGGTAGGCTGAGGTCAGCAGGGGCCAGGGGCAGGCTGGGCTGCCGCACGACCTGGCAGGTCATTGTCCACTCTGGCCTCAGTATGCTCATCTCAAATGGGTGCCGAGCCATTCAGAGGCTGTTGGAGACCTCAGTCAATGCGTGCTGGTAGAACTCTACCGCCAAAGTGGGGGCATAAAACAAGAAGTGCTCATGAACCGAGTGACCACATTCCACTCAGGTGCGCTGCCCCTGCTTGTTAGAGTCCCTGCAGCTGGACCTTGTCCATCTCAGATGGCACTCCTAGGAAGCTCAGAAGCAGCTCGCTGCTCCCACCTTGCAACAAACACAGAGGCTTCTCACTGCCCGAGTGTGCGATACACCCTGGCCAGGGTTAGAAGGCCATCCCAGGACACAGGACCAGGGCACCAAAGCCAGCAGCATCTGTCTCTAAGAGATGGCCACTAAAGAGTGGCCCCTTCCGGTCTGGGAGGAAGCCCCTCACAGGTTCCAGCACGTCCCAACCGCAGGTGATGGAGCAGGGGTCATCCTGCACCCCCAGTCCAGCAGCTGCCTGGGCCACGTCCTCACAATCACCTCCGAGGCCCCGCCTCTGAGCACGTCCCACAGAGAATACAAGGTCCTGAGAGTCCCCAGGAGGCAAGAGGAAAAGTCCTCCCCAAGCAGAAGAGTGAAGACGACCCTGCGCAAGCCCAGCCATCCTGTGGACAGGGCTCTAACCCATCCTGTCCCCGGCCGGCCACTAGACGGGTAAGGCAGCCTGAGCAGACAAGCACCCTGCAGAGGAAGCAGCAGAGCAGGGGCAGCAGGGGGGCCCATGCCCACCTCAAGCCCCTCAGCAGGCGGCTGTGTGGCCATGACAGAGGAGGGAACACGGGGCAGACAGGACAGAGCTGGGACAGGCTGGGAGCCACGGGGAAGAGGTAGTGTGCATGGGGGGGGGGGTGAGGCGGCCCCCCCACTGGCGGCCGTCCCCCACCCGCCAGCGGCTGCCCTTACCGTTGAGGAGCTGCAGCTCGAGGAAGGCGCTGGAGCACACCTTGCAAGCCCACGGGCTGCGCTCCGACTCCACGGGGCCGCTGTGCTCGGGGGTGCCTGCAGCTGAGACAGAGGAGCAGAGGTGAGCGGCCAGGGTCCACGGAGCCCCAGCTGGGAGAACAGACCCTGGCGGGTGACAATGACAGTGACGTGCCAGCAGCAGCAGCCCAGGCTGCAGTCTCAAGTCTCAGCTTCGTGCACACAGACCCTGTTTCACAGGTGAGGAACCAGAGAGCAGAGGCGGTGTCACAGCCACCCTCTGCAGGGGCCAAAGCCGGTGGGACCAGGCGCACCCCTTATAAGGCCTCAGGAAGAAAGTGAGCAGTGGGTGCACTTGCGTCCCAGCTCCCCAGAATGGGGCACTCTCAGGGCAGCCCCAGGACAACCACAGGCCTCTCCTGACTCCTCTGCCGTGTGCCAGGCCACATTCCACGAAACCTTTGCCACGCCAGCCAGCAGGACACACAGCCGTCCCCAGCCAGCAGGACACAATACTGTCCCATGTGGCTGCTTATGTCACGCCATGGCTGTGCTAAAAAAGACCATTCTCAAGTGAGACTCCCTTCACTTTAGAGTAAGAAGGAGAGTCGGCGTCCACCCCTGGCGGGCAGCCACTCCTCACGATGACAACAGGTACCCTGAGCTCCCTTGGGCAGGGGTCCTGAGAGCCGTAGGAGACCACTGCTTTGCAGGTCAGAATGTCCAATTCCCATAATCTCACACGGTCTCTTAAAGTTACATGACGAGGTCCCACGCCCACAATGTGGGGAGGACAACCTGGAATCCCACCCACCCTGCTTCTGGGGTGGAGATGCGCCAGACCTGACCAGCACCACAACCGTGGATCTGCTTCTCCAGCAGACACACGGGGCAGACAGGGCACTTGCATGGCACCTGCCGAGTCTTTCCTTGCACATACAAACTTGTACACACACCTGTGTACCTATGCTTCTATGCACAACACTAAAACATGCTTGTGTATGCACCAACACACAGACACACACCTAAGCACCCCTGCACACCTAAGATGCACACACCTAGGCACCTACACACAAAGACACGCTCATGCCTAGGCACCCCTGCACAGATGTGCACATGTCTGTGTACCACGCACACCTAAGATGCACCCACACTAAGACACATGCCTAGGCATGGCACTCACACCTGCACACATGTGCACGTGCACACACACAGTCCCCGAGGCAGGGTGCAGGCTGCTACTTGGGGCAGAGCAGCAAGACTGCAGCTGGATTTGGGGTTCCGGTAGGGGTTCCTTTACCTATTACACTGACCTTGAGCCCGTTCCTGAACCACTCTGACCTCAGGGATAAATTCCCCACACAGCACTGGGGGGATAAGTCACCATGGGAGGCCAAGCGCATGGCCATTGTCCCCTATCCTATCCTATCCAAGAGCCCCAATTTACCTGGAGGGGCTGAGGTGGCACTCCTCACCAGCAAGAATCCCAAGGAGCGGAAGCTTCCACCTGCCTGTCACCTGAGCTCAGCAAGCAGGTCCACAGACCCACTGTGTAGGCCTCGCTGTGTGTGCTACCCTCTGTCCACCCACCTGCCTGGCCCGCCCCACCCACAGGAGCTGGGAGACGGTCACGGGACCCACCGTGGACGCTGGAGCAGGCCTGCTTCAGCATGGGCTTGTCCATCTTCTTGGCGTAGAAGGCCGCATACCACACGCGCAACTCAGCGCCAGCAGGGATGTCCCGCGAGGTGGTGAAGTACACATCACTGCCGTGCTGGAAGGCCGTCAGGTTCTGGTGCCCGGGCTCCACTGCTGGCCGCACCAGCATCATCCAGTTGCAGTCATCCTCGTTGGAGGTGTCGAAGCACACAGGGTGGCCGTCCTGCTGGAACACCTGGGGTGCGGCCAGGAGCGGGGTCTCAGGGGCCCGCCTGGTGCATCGTGCCCAAGGCCTAGGGGCCCCACGGGACCTGTGCAGGGACCTAGGTGTGCAGTCAAAGGGAGACCGCGTGGAAGGGGCGGATGGGCGGCCATAGGCAAAGGAAGCAGGAGACACAGTGGGCGGCCCCTGTGTCATCAGGATACCCGAGTTATACCCGTGACCCGAGGGGACCTCCTGCTCAGGGCCCGGGTCTGAAAGAGCCCACAGCCTGGTGAGCAGATGCAGGCCGGGCAGGGGAACCCACGTGCTCTGGTTCCAGTCAATCCCACAGGGGCAGGGCCCCTACGTTCTAGTTGACCATGGTCCCTCACTGAGGGAGACCCCGCCCCTCGCCTGAGCTTTTCCTGCAAATCCATACAACATCCCCCGGCTGTTTCCAAGGTCTGGAATCACTGGACTCAGCAGCCCCCGCTGGCCGTGCCCTCAGGAACGGTCACAAGCCCTCCATCCTGAAACTCCTGCAGCAGCTTCACCTTCAGGGGAAACGCGGATTCCTTCTCCCACTTGGCCACCCTCCTGGACTCGAAGGGGCCAAACTGTGTCCGCTTGACCAGCTGCGTGACGGCGAACACGCCTTCCGCCCCATCTTCCAGACGTCGGATCTCCAGGTTGGAAGGCAGGGAAGACCTGGAAGTGAGAGGACATGACTCCTGGGAGGCTCTGCCTACCTGCCCCCTGGGCAGCAGCAGAGCTCAGGGGACTGGGAGCTCCTCCCTGACCACCACCAGGTGCTGAGGTGACTCTCCAGATAGCAGCAGGAGAGCTCTCCTCAGCTGCTCCACAGCACGCGGCCAGATCATAATGACCCCCAGGCCTGGTCACCCAGAGACCACCTCCAGGCCAGGCAGATGTGCCTGTGCCCACGATGTTTACCAAAGGACATGGTTAAGAACCCCACAAAAGACAGGGAGCCCAATTAAGATGGGTTGTTGCCTTCAAGGGCGGGAGGAAGAACTTAAAGGGGTCGGGCATGCCAAGGACCAGAATAGGGTACCAAGAGGTCGGGCCGCTGTCTCACTGAAGATGTGGCCTTTTTCCCACCATGTTTTTTACTGGTGCATCATAGCTGTACGAGGTGGCGGGATCTGCTGTTACGCATGGGTACATGCACACCACAGAACAGTACTCTTCCTGAGCACTGAAGTGGCCTTTTCAATTAACCGAGAAGGTCAAGGGCAGGGCTGGAGGAGAAGAGCACATGAACTGGGGCTTTGGCATGGGACAAGGGTTGGACCAAGATGTGGCCAAAAGCACAAGTGGAGAGAAGCACAGACCCCGTGGGGGCAAGCGGGGGCTGGGCTGGTATGAGGAGCCCAGCACCGGGGCTCTGACTGTGTGGCCAATGTCCCCCCTGGATGCTCCTGGACAACGGGCAATGCCCTGAGGGTTTGGGGAAGAGGAGAGTTGATCAGCTCTCTGCTTTGGGCAAAAAATATTCACTTCTTTGTTTTGAATACACTAAGTCTGTCTGAAGCAAAACAAATAAGTGGGCTGGGGTGGGGCAGCTGGGGGCTTCCAGAGACTGCACTGACGTGCCAACAGCCATTGTTTCAGCCTCACCTGTGCCTGGCACCATCACAGGTGAGACCACAAGCCCACAGCCTAGCCGTACCTTCTCTACATTTCAGAGACGACGGAGTCTTGGGAAGGAACACACCATGCCCAAGTTCACAGGGCTACACATGGCAGACCTGGCATGGCCTCCCTTGCCCTGGCCCCAGGGGCACGGCCTGCACAATGAGGGACGGGGAGCAGCTGTGGCCGCAGACACCTCCACACACCTGCAGGTGCTTTCCCAGGGGCTGCCGTGGCCTGGCCTCATTGCCTGGCCTCCCTGCCCGGGCTGCCTCCCAGCCACCTTGCCTGTGGTGTGCACCTGTCAATGGGCAGGCCTGGATCCAGAACCCGGGGGAAACCCCAGAAGCAGACCCACAGCTTGGCCACTGCTGCTCAGGGCGTAAAGAATGCAGCCCGCCCAGAGGTGGCCCGGCCCCCAGAGCATCCCACTGCGTGGGACATGGCCTCTACCTCCTGCGCTCGCCCAGCGCCCTACTCACACTCGCACAGGCCTCACTCCTCTGGCTCCCCACTCCTGTGTATAGACACCCGCCCCACAGAGGACCCGCCACAGACAGGGCTATGAGGCAACTCAAGGCCATCACTCACCTTGCCCTGCTCAGCACGAAGGAGTCCTTGACCATGACCACTGGGCCCAGCTCAGGACACTCGGAGTCATGGTACTGGCTACAGTCTTCACACCCTGCAAACAGACACGGAGTGTCGGAGGGCACAGTGCACAGGGAGGGAGACACCCGAAGCCACAAGCCCAGGACGCAGGGACCCTGCAGAGCACGGCTCCCCTTTGTAATCCCCAAACAGAGCCTACACAGACACCACGCCCCTCCCCAGAAGAGCTCCAGCTCTGCATCCCAGTCCCACACCACCTCTGTGGAGGCCAAGACCAGGACCTTCCCAAGGGCAGGGTGCCAGAAAGTCCTGAGGATGGTGGGAGGCCGGGCAAGCACCGGCCTGCCTGTCAACCCAACATGCGTCCCTGTCTCTAAACCCTGGACTCTGTTTTTGAATCGAGGGCTACCCTGCAACACGACCCTGCCAGGAGTCCTGAGGACGATGACCCTGGACACCCCACCCGGGCAGGGCACTGCTGCGCAGTGAGCCACGTCCTCCAAGCAGTTTAAAAGGAAAAGACTTCTGTGTTTTTGTTTTTGATGGAAGTGGTTTTGCCCAGACAGCAAGTGTCCGGCCCTCTGTGTTCCTGGCCCAGATGGGTCTGCGAGTCACTTACAGATGAACATGATCTCTTCGCTGCCATCTTCCGCCATCTTCACACCTGTCAGGACACAAGAGAACCAATTACTGATGTGCTCCCCCACCCAGCGTTTTTGGTTTTGGTTTTTTTTTGGTTTCATGGATTGAACCCAGGGGCACTGGACCACTGAGCCCCATCCCAGCCCTATTTTGTACTTTATTTAGAGACAGGGTCTCACTGAGCTGCTTAGCAGCTTACTGAGTTCCTGAGGCTGGCTTCGAACTCGCAACCCTCCTGTCTCACCTCCCAAGCCACTGGGATTACAGGCCTGTGCCACTGTGCCCAGTCAGAAGAGCGTTTTTAAACACAGAGCCCAGCAAGGCCTCCCCTGACCCATGCAGGGACGTCTGTGTGCTGCAAGAAACAGCGGGTAGCACCGCTCAGGGGAGGTCTCTGGGACACTTCCTCACTAAAATATCACTGTTTTTAATGAACCCAGAGGATGGGAAGGGCCTTGTGACTAGGAGTCCTCGTGACTCAGACTCCACCTCATCACCTTAGGCCTCAGTGTCCACTGGTGACACAGACACCAGCCGCCAGCCTTCACACCGCCCCTCCTCCGTCCTCCATCCCAGGAGCCGTCATGTCTAATGCGGCTGGTTTCCCTGTCTCTCCTTGTGCCTCGTGTCCCATAAGCTCCCTACACATGACATCGCGGAGGCTCTCCTGCTCCACGCGGACCTTGGTCAAACCTGGCCCCTTCTGTTTCCCACCTATCCTTTGGGGGCCACCTTAAAACCACCTCCATGCTGGGCAGCGGGGCACAGGGCCCCCGCCCCCGCATGGCCTTGCACCCCTCCCGCCTTCCCTCTGGGCCTCTGCTGGGCCTCTTATCAGGAGAGTGTGCATGCTGGTTCCCGATGCTGACCCCACTCTCCCTCCGTCCACCGGCCCCAGCAGCCGGGAGACTGAAAAGCAGGCAACACGCAGCCCAGATGCACATTTGGGTTCACTGAGCACACGTGTGGTCATGGACGGAGCAGAGCAGAAAGCTCCATGATGAGAGGGGTCAGCTACAGGGACACGAGGCTGAGGAGGTGGGCTGCCAGGTCTCCTGTAAGCAGCCAGGGACAGCCACGGCGTACCTCCCATCACTGCACAGGGCCCCTGAGCATGTGCACACCGACACTGAGCTGTGAAGCATGAGCACCGCTGGCTGGAACCACGCCTTTAACACGGGCTTTAGGGGACATTAAGATCCAAACCATGACAGACAAGGAGGCAGATGCGTGGGGTGGGCTGGGGGCTGCTCTGACGGCGGCTCCTGTGGCACTGGGCCTAAGGACCTACACACCTGCCACAGGACCCCTCCCCTCCCCTCCGCTCTGCCTGGGTCAGGAGCGTCTGTAACGGGAACACCAGGTCTCGGGGGGAGGCCACCCAGGGCTGCAGTCAGACCCCAGCAGGGCACAGAGCCTGAGGATGTGAGAACCGGAGCAGAGAGAGCAGGGACTCGTTCCCGCGGAGTCCACCGAGGCCGGCTGGCCGCCTCTTTCTGGGGCAGCAGCTGCCTCTGACCTGCACCTCAGACAGCCCTGCCCTCCATGTGCCCCGTAGAGCTGCAGGGAGAGGACACCTGGCTGAGGTGCTGGAGGAGAAGTTTCAACACACAGCAGGAGGGCGGGCGCTTCTCACATGGCGCTCATCGAACAGCTTTGGGGACAACACTCTCAGTAACCTGGTCCCCAAAGGGTGGCCTCTCTGAACAGCTCTTCGCAGCCCAAGACAGAGACCACAGCCTCCCCGGGCAGCGTGCAGGGACAGCACATCTGCCTTCAGGAAAATGGCACCCTCCCCTGCCCAACACGTGCCGATGGAGAAGGGGGACTCCAGTCCCGCATCTGGCCCACAAGCCCCCCACAGTGAGGTCACAGGATGCTCTGGTGCACACAAAAGGGAGGAAAATAGATGGAAAGCATGAGCGTCTGTCGTCTGACCACTAGTCCTGCCTCCCCAGCTGTGCTCAGTGTGGACCCCGAACCAGGAGGCAGCAGGACCAGTGTGGCCTGGAATTTCCTGGAAATGTAAACCCTGACCCCACCCAGAACTTCGGTGGGACTCCGTGGGGCCAGCAAGGGCTCCCACGGCCCCTAGGGGAGACCCCCACAGCCCAGGTCTAAAGTGCGCTGCACCAGGACAGGCCAGGACACCAGGGCCTCCCTTGGTGTGGCAGGAAGAGTGGACCTCAAGCAAATGTCCTGTGTGACTACTCACACCAGAGCTTCCGTGGCAGCCACAGTGGTGACAGGCCTAGAGACACGAAGGGAGGGATCACTAAGGGAAGAAGCAAGCAAACCATCTTCAAAAACATGCGCAGCACAGTTCTGAAAGAGGAGATAGGTCAGCAGGTAAGCAGAGAGGACTTCTGCGGCCATTCTGAGAGGCCTCTTCAGACCCCAGTCCAGAGGGTGCTGCATACCTGCAGGCCAAGGTCAAGATCTGAGAGACTCTGCTCAGGATGACAGCCTCTGAACATAACCGGGCAGAGGGCACTTCCCAGGCACACTGACTATCAAGCTGAGGAGCCACAGTCCACAGCTGGGCTCTGGGGTCCTGCTGTAAGGGGACTGGCGGCCAGAGCCCAGGAACACCTGCTACTGCTGCGTGCTAGAAGTGAAGCACCTGAGCTGGCCATGGCCCCCCTCAGCCTGTCTCCTCCTCTGTACCACGAGAGGCTAACTGGACTCTCTGCATGCCTTGGACCCGCTTAAACTCTAGGCCATCAGTGCCACAAGTGTCCTCCGACTCCTCCTCCCCTACTCCCTCCTCCTCCAGCGCTGCCACACCTGGGTCGACCTAACCACTGTGGCAGTCCAGTGCAGACAGCACACTTGCAACACTGCGAGCCCAGGGAAAATCCAGCTGTCGCCTGCCACCCCCCACAAAGCTGGAACTCGGGATCCTGGCATGGACCATTCTGTAGCTTCCCTCTTCCTGACCCCACTCCCCGGCACACAGCGCCCTCTTCTCGCCAAAGGAAGGGGCTCCCTTCTGGGCCGCCCCGGCCCTGCGCTGCTCTTGGCCGGGGTTCACCTTTTCTTCTCCGGCCTTCTCGTCAGCTTCAGAGGATGGAGCTGTATGAGCCACACCTTCCTTCCTGGCCAGAGCCACACGCCAGGAGGGCAGACCTAACTGCCGGGGGCGTGGCAGGCCTGGTACAGGTTCCCAGGCCGCAGGTCGGGCGCTGCTCTGCCCACAGACGTCTCCATGCACCACTTACTTGGCCTCTGCTTCCCCACCTGGCCCTGCCACCATGGTGGCCCAGGAGAGCAGAGTGGGCACTCTAGAGTCCTGTTGCACATGTCCTAGACTACAGCGGGCACCAGACAGTGGGCCTCTGCCGCAGTCAGGGACTGAGCACTGCATCTGCTCACGGTGTGGACTCCTCGCTGGGCCTGCAGACACCCAGCGCACAGCCCAAGGTGCCTTCCTTTTGTATCTGTCCTCCCACATCAAACTGCGGGGCGGAGCCTGCTCAGCTCTGCACACAGATGCGGTCACCACTATGGAGGTCCATCTGAAACCTGGCATTGCAGGTGGACTGACCCTAAGTGATGACCTAACTGACCTTGTCCCCCTTCAAGATGAGGACACCAAGGGAACAGCAGCTACCATATGGTCAAGAGGAAGAGTGAGTCCTGCAGGCAGGTCGCCCCCGAGGGGAACTGGGGGCTCCTGGGGCAATAACGATGTCAGGACCTCACAGCATTGGGAGATGTTGACGAGCCAGACCCCAGTTTGACGAGACTGCTTCTCAGGCATCCATCCCCCCATGGTTCTTGGTGACTTGATACTCAACTGAATGGGGCTGGGGATGCTTGGTCCCCTGTCGTCCCAGTATGTCAATCCCTGTCCCGCCCCCAGACCCACAGGCAGATCTCCAGCCTACTCTCTGGCTGTCCTGTGGCCTCTGCTGCTGCCCCTTAGCCAGCGTTTGTTCACGGGACGCACGAGCTTGCATGCTCACCTGGCATCCCCCCAGGTCTGGTAAGTCAGAGTGTGGGACGCGTGACTCTGAAAACCTCTGGGCATCAACACGTGTGCCACACGTCTCCAGCCCGCCTCTGAAGTCTGCTGCTTGTTTCGGGCTGGCTTGGTTCTGGTGCACAGTTCTGCTTGCTGTTTTGTGTGCATGTGCGATGACGCTCTGCTGCACAGGGAAGCCGCAGTACTGGGTGTGCTTAGCTGTCTCCTGCGGGCCCTGTGTCCTGTGCCGGCTGGCGGGCCTGGGTGGGTCTGGACGTTGTGCCTGTGTGCAGAGGCCCTGCAGATGCTGTGGAGCAGGGGCAGCAGGGCCGCCTTCCCACATCCTCCGCAGCTTCCTAGCTGTTGGCCTGTTCCTGCCCACTGTCTCCTTTCCTGGGTCCACTCCCTGGATCTGGCGACATTCTCCCTGGAGCTTCCCTGGCTGACAGGGACCTGGAGGTCCATCTTCTGGATGTCCCCACAGCCACCAGTCTGATCTCTTTGCAGCTGGCAGAGGCCCCAGGTGCCACTCCACCACAGCACCCTGGAAGGTCGGCCTCAGCGTCACGCTGGGCAGCCCTGGGGCAGCCCTCTCCGCCTGGCACTGTGTCCCGAGCCCTGAGGTTTCTGTCACTATTTCTTCCCTGTTCTCTCTCTGAACCTCTTGGCTTCCCCCAAAAGGACATCTGCGTTCTCATTTTCACTTCTGGTTCTTTAAGAGGAATTTCTGGGCCAAGAGGAGAAAGGCGCGCGCCCTACCATCTCCACATGGTCAGAGGCAGAGTGGACCCTCACCTGGGTCAGCACCCAACCCGCCAGGTCTGCATTGAGCAGCCTGGTCAGCAGGGCTGCGGCGGGCTTGTTGCCCAACAGTGCTGGAGTAGCAGGTTTTGCTCACTCTACAGCCACCAGCAGCATAACTAATGAGTCCATTAAACCCACAAAATTACAAATTCACACATTTACACTTACAAAGAGCAAAGACCTGAGTTACCATACCTGTGCACACCCTTCTCAAAGGCAGGGCCCTGGTGCAGGTGTCCTTCCTCCCCAGAGTGGTGGGAGCGAGAACCCAAATGGTCCCGCTGGGCAAGTCAGTGGCTGACAGCGCTGTTGCACCTGAGCCGTGTCATTCGTCCGAGGTGGAGGTTTCCGATGCTTGGGCAAGGTGACCTGTGACCTGAAGCCCAGACTGCTGCACCACCAACAGGCCAAGCGGAGCCAGGACAGACAGCGCACACGAGGCAGAGAGGGGCAGGGCCTCCGAGAATCCACCTCCACTCGAGTCTGTGGCAACGGGAAGCTGAGGGCCACTGGAGCTCATCCACCCCACAGACCTGGGACACCCAGGATACAGCGCCTGACAGACTGCAAAAGCAGATTCTCTCTCACATACTCTCACCATGCAAGAGGGAGAGAAAGGCGTGCACCCTACCATCTTCACATGGACGGAGGAGGCCTCATGGAGGCCTCAGTGGACGCCAGCACCGTGATCTCGAGCTTCCAGCCTCCAGAGTGCTAAGGTTTAATTTCTTTTCTTTATAATTTACTTAGTCGGTCGTATTCTGGGATAGCAGCAGAAAACAGGCTAAGGCAGAAACTGCCCTCCATCTGTCAAACTCCTACTCAGTTCTGAAAGCCCAACCCAAATGCCCCTCCTGCCCAAAGTCCTCTTGGCTACGACTGCCACACGACACACCACACCTCTCCCTACAGCACCCAAGACACTCAGAGCCCAGCACTAGCACACACTGTGTGCCTGCAGGTCCCTTCCCCACGCAAATCTCCGTTTCTCTGTCCCTTCTACTGCTGAAGTCCTCCTAGAGGACTGGCCCACTTCACCCCTCCTTTGGCATGTGAGTGGGCTGCCTCTGGCTCCACCAGACCCCTGCCCGTGTCTGTCCCTCCTCCAGTGACTCCCGGCAGGGAGGCCCCGGCCCCCCTGGATATCCTTCTTGAGCTACAGTCTCCTGGTCACTTTCCCTCTGGCTGGACGCTCCTTCCTTGGCCCCTTTACTGGCCGCCCCTCCATCCAGCATCCCGATCCTCCACAGTGGATGGCCCAGGCCGGCTCCTTGGTCCTCCCTCCCTCTAGTTCTGACCAAAGCCAGTGCTCCACAGCCCTTGCTCCTTCCCAGGCCCTCTCTCTGTGGCAGCCTGATGCCTGCTACGATGTGTGGGAATCTCTTCACCTCTCTCCACCAGGGTCTTGCTCTTTCCTGCATTCAGCTGACAGCTTGCCCTGTTCACACCAAGTTTCAAGAGCTACAAGGGACATAACTTGACTTTCTAAAATAAAACCGTTGTCACTCTTGTAAATCTACTGATATCTGCACCTACGCTGAGATGGCCTGCTATCTACAGCACATGTGAACAAACCCTTCTGTGGCCACAGGAAGCTGACCACATTTCTGCTCCATCCATTCCTGCTTCTACCACTGCAGAACTCAAGCCCAGTGCCACACACTGCGCTTGAGTCTCCTCTACTGATGCCTCACTGCAACTTTCTGCAACACACAGTGTGTCAGGACACTGGCCTTGATTCTGCAGGACCGCAGGCTGGCTGGCTGCTTCCGGCCATCGCTGTGTTGCCCGCAACACCAAACAAACATCACGACCTCACAGCAAGCTGTGCTCAAGCAGGTGGACGGGCGTTCTTCCCACCAGTCCTGGGTGGACAAATGTTCCCCTCTGCAGCTCTCCTCCCCAGCACACGAGCACCTGTGGCCTGGGAACAGGTGAGACGGAGTGGAAGGTCTGCACACGGGCCTTGGGCTGCCCCCAACAGTCCCAAGCACATAGCTGCAATCAGCCTGCAGGACCCTGCAAGCCACTGAGGGTCTGTCCCCGCCACATAGCTGGACCAAGGGCCCATGCCCCAGCCCTCACCATGAGTCTCCTGCTCTGCAACAAGAGGGGTCCTTCCTCAGTAGGAGTCCCTGGAGGACAGGCCCATGGCACCCAGCCCTGTGCATCATCCCTGCCCACCTGGCAGCCCTTGCCACTGTCTTACCCAGGATTCCTATTGCTTCTTGTCTACACTGCCTCCCCTACCTGCCTGAACTGGGGTCCCCCAGGCTTTCTCTTACTCAGTGCCGGGCACATGAAAGTGTCCTTCTGTAGAGATTTACCGAGTGAACAGTTGGCCAAATCACCTAATCTGTGCACCTGAACACCACGGTGAGCCAGCCAGAGTGAGCTATGCTTTGCAAACGAGAAACTGAGCCTGAGAAGCACTTAAGTCACTGCTCACAATCACAGAAGCTGTTCCAAGTCTCCCTCAAGTCTGTAAAGTATGATTTTTCTTTTGAGGCCTTGTGCACCAATAACAATGAAAAAAATATCAGAGCTACATCCTCAGTGGGCAGAGTTCCTTTTCAAATATAATTATTCTAAGATAAGCTATTAGCCTTGCAACTATGGTTGCTTTCTAAAGTTTGTCTTCTGGAGAAATAACTGTTGCATCTGTCTTCAAAACTAAACATATTTACATGTTCTTTCTTGGTAACTTTGCTGCAAAAGTAGTAATCACAGATATAAGAAATGAGAAAATTTTGTATTTTTCCCTTTTCAAATCCAGACTAACAGTCCTATTTCTTAAGGATTCACTGTAAGGCTGTGATTTCAAGGAAACCCAGGGAAGTGGAGAGGAGCTATAAAAATGAGGTGGAAAAGGCCAGGCTTGGTGTGTATGTGGGTGTCACTCAGGCCAGTGCTCACCCCAGCACTACCTGGGGAGAACTGTCCTGTGCCCTCAGGAGGTCTGTGCAGCCAGGTGCTCCCACACTCTTCACCCTCAAAATGCCTCAGGCCCCAGTAGGGTCCCCACACTCGGCTTTAGGTGTGGCTTCTGCAAATGCTGGCACTGGTGGACCACTAGTGGAGGCACTGGTCTTCCTGCTTCTGGATGGCACACTGGTTCCTGCCATTTTAAACCACCTTTGGCAGGGGAGAGGGGTGGCAATTTCTGAGCATGTGTGAAAATAGCTCTCATGGGCTACACCCAGGCTTGGTGCATGGCACTGGCCTCCAGGGAGTAGTGATCAGGTCTGTGTGCTCAAAAACACAGGAGGCCGCGCGTGGCCCTCGCCCCACCTGTCCACTTCTTCCCTGGGCACCTGTCGCCGCTTTCACGCCCTTCCCTCTGGCACCAAAGGGTTCACCCAAGTAAGGTCAAGGGGCCCTGGGGAGGCCACCGCCAGCCCTCCGCTTTTCTACTCCTACTAGGGGCTGGGGCCCGGGGCCTCTCCGTGTTGCCGGGCTCTGCCGAAGGACGCGGGAAGCGACGTCAGGGAGGCCACGCGAGGCGGAGGGCGCGGAAACCCCGCGCTGGGCAGGCGGGGGCCGTTTTGCGTGGCCGGGGCCTGGCGCCCACACTGGGCTGCGCGGGGGCAGCGGGCCCGCCAGGGCGGCGCGGAGAGCGGTGGGCGGCGCGGAGGGCGGTGGGCGCCGGGCCGGCCCCGCAGCGGGAGCGGGCGGCCGGGGGCGCGGGGCGCGTGCGTGGGCGCGGGCGGGCGGCGCGGAGGGTGCGAGCCGGGCCGTGGGCGGCGGGCGGCGGGCGCGGCGCAGGCCCGGTACTGGGCGGCGGGCGCGAACGGCCCGGAGCGCCCGCGGCGGCGGGACCCGGCGGGCGGCGGCGGGCGGGCGCGCAGGGCGATCCCGGAGCGGCTCCGGAAATCCAGCCGGGTTTTGACTCCGATCGCCCACGGCGCCCGCGGCCGGCGAATGTAACAAAGAACAGTCGGCATGGCGGCTGGACCGGGGCGGGCGGGCGCGGCGGGGCGGGCGGGCGCCGGGCGGCGGCGGGCGGGCGGCGCGGGCCGGGCCGGGGGCGCGCGCCGGGGCGGGCGGCGGGCCGGGCCCGGGGCTTTACCTGCCTTTGGAATGTGCAGAGCAGGATCGGATCCGGACTCCGGGTTGCGATCCGCTCCGGAAACTGCGCAGCACCGGAAGCCGGGGGGCGGCGGCGCGGCATCGTGGGAGTTGTAGTGCGCGGCCCGGCGCGGGCGGGGCGGGGCGGGGCGGAGCGGGCGGCGTGGACGGGGTGTCGGGGAGCGGGCGAGGTGCGTGGAGGGCCGGGGGAGCGGAGGGGTGTCGGGGAGCGGGCGGAGTGGACGGCGTGTCGGGGAGCGGGCGGCGGTGAGTGGACGGGGTGTCGGGGAGCGGGCGGCGGTGAGTGGACGGGGTGTCGGGGAGCTTGGCGAGGTGCGTGGAGGGCCGGGAGCAGACGGGGTGTCGGGGAGCGGGCGGCGGTGAGTGGACGGGGTGTCTGGGAGTGGGCCAGGTGCGTGGAAGGCTGGGAGCAGACGGGGTGTCGGGGAGCGGGTGGCAGTGAGTGGACGGAGTGTTTGGGAACGGGCCAGGTGCGTGGAGGGCCGGGGAGCAGACGAGGTGTCCGGGAGCGGGTGGCGGTGAGTGGACGGAGTGTTTGGGAACGGGCCAGGTGCGTGGAGGGCCGGGGAGCTTTCGAGGTGTCCGGGAGCGGGTGGCGGTGAGTGGACAGGGTGTCTGGGAGCGGGCGAGGTGCGTGCAGGGCCGGGGAGCCGACGGGGTGTCGGGGAGCCGGCTGCGTGGACATGGGGTGTGAGGGAGTGGGCACGGGTGCGTGGATGCCCGGGGAGTGGGCGGCGGTGAGTGGACGGGGTGTCGGGGACCGGGCGAGGGTACATGGAGGGGCCGGAGCGGACCGGGTGGACGGGGTGTCGGGGTGGACGGGGTGTCGGGGAGCGGGCGGCGTGGACGGGGTGTTGAGGAGCGGGCGGCAGTGCATGGATGGGGTGTTGGGGAACGGGGGGGGGGGGCATGGACTAGGAGTCGGGGAGCGTGTGGCAGGCGGCGTCGATGGGGACCCGGTGGAGCGGGCAGCGTGCTTAGGGGTTGGGGGAGCGTGGGGGGGCGGTGTGGATGGAGGGCTGGGGGAACGTGTGACGCACAGCGTGGACCCAGGAGCTGGGGGAGCAGGCTGCATGGACGGGGCACCTGGAGGAGTGGGTGGCTGGCCGTGTTCTGGACAGACTGGAAGGGCAGGACGGGAGCGGGAGGCTTGGACGCCGCCAGCTTGGGGCGGAGGGCGCTCTGCCGCCACGCAAGGTCCAGCCCCACTGGTCCCTTTTCTCCCTACAGCTGCTAGTTACTGTGGTTTCCGAGGGTGGAAGGTGGTGGTGACACGGAGGGGGTCGAGTTTTCTCCAGATCAGGTCTGGGGTTGCCAGATTGTCCTAATTTCTGAGTTTAGCTGGTGTTGGCATTCTGGGCTGGCTTTTTGTTTGGTTTATAAGGACTTCGTGAAGTCACAGGCCTAGCAGCCCCAGCGCCCGGAGTCGGAATCCTCACAGGGGCTTCACTCCAGCAGCTGCCTCGGAGCAGCCAAGTGAAAAGCTTGGGACATGGAAGCACCCTGCCATGGAGTGTGTGTGCGGTACCTTGTGCTAGTAATCCCCAGACTCAGATCAGGAGGCACAGGCAGGCCTGCGCCAGTCAACAACCCCCTGCCTCAAAGTTACAAGGACTGGGGATGTGTCTCAGTGCTAAAGGGCCTGGCCGGCATTCATGAGGCCTGCTCTAAAATAAAAAGTGTGTGATGACAAAACACTGGAAATAGAAGGGACTTGGCTCTCTTGATCTAGTCCTGGCGTCCCCCGGTTCCTGCCTGCCAAGACTTCCCGTGAGAGGAGGAGGAGGAACTGGGGAGATTTATTTGAACTGGGACCACAAAGAGCTCCTTTCCCGTGTATGTGAGGTCCTAGGAGTCACTCACAGAAAGAGAATACAGTGTCTCTTAGGCACATGAGAAGACATCTAACTCTCGTATCTGAAATAAGACAACAAACAGGATTCCAGTGAGGGGATTTTTATTAGATTAGCAAAAAAATAAAAGATTCATAGCGTTACTTTGGAGGGATTCTAGAGGAGCACTGCCGTCCTGGGCTAGGGGGAAGGTAAATGTACATACCCGTAGAGATTCCAGATGCCGTTGGCCCACCAGTTCCACATGTGGCTCACCCTGCAGAGATGCACTATGCAGAGGGGCACCTGTGTAAGGTCAGTCATAACTAAGTGCCATTCAAAGGGAAGAGTTGGGTGCTCCTGGGGTGCCAGGTCATGTAGCAGAGAGGAAAGATGTTCAGGGGGCTCCCTGCCCCAACATCTACAGTGGCTTCCCAGTTGCAGTACAGGAAGCTGACCCAGAGCATCCCTCACCTTTCCAGAACACTCAGCTGTCCACCCTCCCCTCTTCCTGCTCAGACCCCGCTTCCTGCCAGCCTTCCTTCTCCCAGGTTTTCCACCGCCATCCCTTCATCCAGGTCTTTGCCCAAATGCTCTCCAGCCCCCTCCACACACCTATAGCTGATATACACCACAGCAACCCCTGTGCACCCCTTCTGGCCATCACTCAGGTGGCCAGTTCTCTGGGTCTCTGCACACTAAATAGGTACCGACAGAAAGTGGCAGGCATAGCAAGAGTGAAGGACTGAGAGTAACAAAGACCTTGTGGTTTAGATCTGAGGTGTCCCCCCAAAACCCATGTGTGACAATCAGAGGTGAGATGATTAGATTATGAGAGATTGTGTGACTCTGCTGATCAGGGTTAACTGGATGATAACCATAGGCAGGTAGAGTGTGGCTGGAGGAAGGTTGTCACTGGGGTGTGCCTTGGGGGTTGCTATTTTGTCCCTGTTGAGCAGAGCCCTCTACTTCCTGGTTTTCAGGTCCTGAGCTGCTGTTTTCTGCCATGATGACCCGCCTCAGGCCCAGAGCTGCAGAGTCAGGTGGTCATAGACGGAACTTCCGAAATCATGAGCCAAAATAAACCTGTCCTCTGTGTTGTTTTTGTCACAGCAATGAAAAAGCTAACTAAAACAGAAATTGGTACTGAGGAGTGGGACGTTGCTGTGACTGATGCGACCATGGGGCTCAGAAGCTTTTGGAGCTGGTTTGTGTGGCATGGGGGGGAGGGGTGTTTGAAAAGTTTAGAGAAGCCGTAGAATGTTGTAAGCAGAGCTTGATGGGTGACTGCAGCGAGTTCAGAAGACCTGAACGCCAGTGGCACTGAGGTTTCAGAGGAGAGGATGCGGTTGAAGTTGGACTGGAGGCCATTCATATCACATTCTGGCAAAGAAGGTATCTACATCTTGCCCGTGTCCTGAGACTGGGAGGCTGAATTTAAAGGGGATGTAGTGATTGGTCTGTGGAGGGAATTTAGAGGTAGCGCAGCATTCAGACAGTGCATGAATGTTGCTGGTGGATTTTAGCCAAGCTTACCATGATAACCAGGAGCAGAAAGATTTGAAAACCTTCCAGGCAGAAAAGTGTGCGCAAAACTGAGGCTAAGGAATGTGTGGCTGTTAAAGAAATTAGAACCACTAAAGAAATAATAGGAAAGATGGCTTGAGGGCTTCTCAGGAATTGGTAAGACCACACCTCTCTCTCTCCAGGGTGTAAAAGAAGACATTTTTTTGAGAAGAGACCAAAGGGGCATCCAGCTTGGGGGAGGGGGTGCTAGTAAGTTTGGGGGTTTGTTTTTACCATGCTTGGCCACCCAGGCATGCAGAGGCTGCTGCATCCGCGGTCCCAGCAGGCTCAGTTCCTAGTAGCTGAAGATGGCGGCAGACCTTGGCATCCATCACGTCGTGCTGGTGCTGCAGGAATGAAGGATGCTGGAGTTTGGGGTCGTGAAGGCTTCCACCAAGATTGCAAAGGAAGGCCTGGAGGCCTGGCAGGGTGCAGCCGGGTCAGAGTCCCTGTGGGACGCCCCTGAGAGGCCAATACATGAAGAGGTGAGAAGGAAGCCAGAAGCCTCAGTGGAGACCCCAAAGGTGGCAGTAACATAGGACAGCACCGAGGAAAGCTGCAGGTACGGGCAGAGACAAGCAGCAGAGAGGCTGTGTGGGCCGCAGCCCACAGCCCTGGAGAGACCATCACCCTGCCAAGTGCCCAGGTGCTGGACATGGAGCTACAGGACTTGCTCGCCCCCCAGGATTTCAGTCTTGCTTTGGTCTCGTCCTTATTTTTCCCTTGTGGAATGGGAATGTTTACTCTGGGCCATTACATATTGGGTATATGTGACTTGCTTTTGACCTTTACAGGGGACAACATCCATGAATTTATCTTAAGTCTTGGATGAGATATTGGACTTGGACTTTGGGGCAGTGGTAGAACTGTTGAGACCATGGGGACTCCTGGAAATGGACCAAGTGTATTTTGCATTGTGAGATGGGTATGAGCTTTTGGGGGCCAAGGATAGAAAGTTATGGTTTAAATATGAAGTGCCTCCCAGAAGCTCATGTGTGAGATAATGCAAGCATTTCGGGGGTTAGACGAGTAGATTATCAGAGGTGTAACCTTGTCAGTGGATTGATCTACTGATGGATTGTAGGCAGGTAGAATGTGGCTGGAGGAGGTGGGTCCCTGGGTTGTGACTTTGGGGTTTATAGTTTGTCACTCACGCTCTGCCTACCTGTTACCTGCTTACCTGCTCTAGTTACCTATCCTGAGCTGCCCTTCTCCACCACACCCTCAGCCAGGAAGTTCTGCCTCACCTCAGGCCTGGAGCTGTGGGGTTGCCCGAGGATGTACTAACCCTCTGAAACTGAGCCCACATGAACTTTTCCTTCTCCACACTGTTCTTGTCAGGTCTTTCGGTCACGGTAACAAAAAGGCTGTCTATGACACACCTCAGTCCCCGGCCATTTCTCACGTCAAAGCCCACAATACGGCTGGTGTTCAATTTACACTCACAACAGTCACTGTGTTGCCAAGAAAATTCTGTGGGTTCAGGATATTTCTTCACTAAAGGCTGGAAATAATACCTTCTAAGGCAAATAAATGTATATCCTTAATTCCAAAGTTAGAAAAAAATGTCCAGTTTCATTACGAACCCTGACACAACAAATCTTTGAATCATGGGCAGAAAAAAAGGAAAACCGACTCACTGTAAAGGGTGTTCTTGTGGGTAAGAACTTCAGATGCTGTCTGTGGTGCTGGGTGACAGTACCACACAGGGTCGAATTTCCCAGGGTGATCCTGAGTGCGTGACAGTAGGGTGCTTTGTTCTCAGAGCCTGCTGAAGGGCCGAGGGTGACACGTCACAGTGCACCCCACAACCTCAAATACACAGTGAAGGACAAGTGGATGTGTGATGGACACAGGGAGATGGCAGGGCAGGCGTGGCCAGTGGGTGAAACTGGGTGAGAGGTGGGTGAGTGGCAGGTAGATCTGAATTTTTAAAAAATGAGTTGAGAATTCTTTAGAAACAAGTGCTTCCATTACCATCAGCCTAGGAACACTGTCCCTAAGGAGTGTGTTCTCTAAGGGCGTGGCTCCCTACCCTGGTGGTGGCCTGCCCAGAGCCACGCTCTCCCAACTCCCACGCCTCACCTGCTGTGGTTTTCCTGTTCATCTGGACGCAAAACTCCTTCATGCCAGCATCATAGACACCCCTAGTCCCCTCTCCGTCTACCACTAGCTTTTTTTTTTTTTGAAGTCTGGCTAACTTTTATGCAGATAGAGGGGAATCTAATCTACAGTAAGTGAATTCCTACTGTGTGCACTCTGTGCTACTCTCACCCAGCCCGGCAGCACTGTCGTGCAGACAGACCAGGTAAGGCCACTGACTTTGCTCTCGCCTTGAGCTGGTGCGGGCAGAGTTGGGTGGTGGAGGCTGTGGGCCTGGCTTCTTCCACCAGACAGCCTCGGCACTAACTGAGGCTGCCACCTTTCAACTCCGTGAGCAAGTGACTTACACTGTGCCTCAGCTTCCTGGTCTGTAAGGCCAAGGTAGAACAAGATGCACAGAGTAATTTGAA